ATAACTGGAGCAAATGGCCTCCTATAATTGGCTAAATCCAGAGCTCCCTTAGTAATAGGTGGGAGTCCAGTTCCAATTTATTTCTTACAAATGGAATAACAAAACTTGCTGATGGATACTGTCATGCAGCCAGGTGTTACTGATATTGAGCGTAGCCCCACCACATAAAAGTGATGTGTGGATCTAGCATATGACCTTTCAGTCCAGGCTATCTGTGCCAATTTGGGGAAACTGCACACATTTCATCCCATGCAAACTGTCACATCCTTAGTGGTTACCAGCCCTGGTTCTGGAGATTTACTTTCCTGCAGAGTTTAGCTCCAATCTGCATCTATCATGATGCCCCAAACTTTTGCCTGATGCCAATGCTGGAGCAGGTATGGCAGATTGTAGTTGGAGCTAGAATCTGCAAGAAAGTAGATCTTTAGGACCAGGGTTGGTGACCGCTGCCTTAAAAATGAAATTACAGACGCTCCACAAAACTAATCCAGCTTAAACAGTGCTTTGGACTAAAGTTACTGGAAAAAAACTGGGGAAAAATTATATATTTTTTTTTAAATGTTAAGTTGATTAGTAACTGTATTTGTTTAAATGCTGATCTTTACCCATGGTCCACTGCAGCCTCCTTCAGGGCCTCACGAGCAGCCTGGGTTGCTTTCCTCCACCCGGAGACGATGATCTGAGGATGGATCTTCCTCGCAATCAGCAACTCTGCTTCCTAATGCACAATTAATACACAAAAGCCCACCACCAATCAACAAATTGGTATCTATGAAGACATGAACAGGAGTCTGGGGGGGGCCTTTATTAACCATAACAGGAATGTATCACAAGGCAATGTTAAATAGTAAGACCACACAGCCTCACCCTGAGCAGTTCAGCCGCCAGCACAGTCACAGAAGTAGTGCCATCCCCAACCTCATCATCCTGGACCTTGGACATATCTGAAAACAAGATAATAGAGAAAAGCCCACTGATTACCTGAGCAACACCACTAAAGGCTCATCCTGACCCTGTTGTACTGAACTGAATGCTTACAATTTAGTATTAGACCTCATCTATCTCTCCTCTGAGTCTGGTGTCTACAGAGAGGCCACACTCACCAACCAGCACTTTGGCGGCAGGGTTATCTACTCCGATGGCTTTCAGAATGGTTGCTCCATCGTTGGTGACTGTAACAGAGCCATCTCGTCCACCACCCAAGAGGATTTTGTCCTGCAGAGAACATGAGCAATACAAGAGATGGTTAAACAAGAACCCAACAAAAACCCATCATGTATATATAAACAAAAATAAATCCATACCATTCCTTTTGGTCCAAGAGTACTTTTCACCAGATCCCCAATAGCAATGGCACCAATAAAGGAGGACTAAGAGAAAAGACAGACAAAAGTTAGCACAACTGCTCAAAAAGTACACAAATGAATCTAGATGAATTCGACACATTTGTTTTTTTTTCTAGCATTTACTGTATGAACCCATTTAGGCAATATAAGTTAATGGCTCTGAGGGCCATGTGATATGTAAAGTCATCCTACAGCTTACAGAGCAACATGAGAGTTTTCACTATTTACAAAGTGATCTTGGATTGTACTTTTTGAGCCAATATGAATTCCAAACTCTGCTAAATGCTGCATCAACATTTCTGGTTAATACTCAGAGGAAAGCACTCACCAGACGAGCAGTTTCTGCTTTCTCCTCATCAGCGCCATGTTTGAAGATGTTCACTGGGGCCAGTGATAGTGAGGCCTGTCAAAATACAAGAGAGAGATGAGTTACTCAGCACTACTACAACGTCATATACACTACTGTTCAGACATCTGAAAAAAAGCAGTTTAAGAGCAGTGCCCAGAATTAACAGAGGTATAAATCATTCTATAATATTGTTTTTAAAAAGGACAGCCTCAATATTAAAATTATGATATTAATATCCAGAATGCAAAGTATTTGAAAAGTGCACTACTCACATCTCGAAGCAAATAACTGAATATACAACTGCAGTATATTATTTAATGTTTAGTAACTTCTTACTGCTACCTAAACCATAATCTTATGATGTTACTGAACAAAACCACTGAAAAGCCTTTTGGTGCCATGATGTTTATAATATTAAGATCAATATAATTTTTACTAGAAGTTACTATTTGAAAAAAACTACATTGCAAAATGAGCTTTGTTCCAAAATGCATCACAGAACACTTTCAAGAATATTCTTGTTCTTTTTTTATGAGACACTGTTGGGAGTCACTTGAAGGAATATCAATGATACACTCTTAAAAAAAACACGGTTCTTCAAGGGTCTTATAGTAAAGAATATGGTTCTACTTAGAACCCTGAGTTTTATATAGAACCAATTTGTGCTTAAATGGTTCTTTGCGTGATGAAATTATTCTTCAGCTTGGAGGAGAATATGTTGCATATGTTTCTATTACAGAACCTTTTTTAAAAATTCTTCTACATAGCACCAAAAAGGGTTCTTCTATTTTACAAGATTGGCATCGTAACAGAAGAACCCTGCTTGATGCTATATAGAGATAAAAGAGCCATATAAAAGAATATTCAAGCGCATATAATAGTGTATACTATTTTAACATCAGTAGAGGAAAAACGCGTTTTCCATTGTCCGCCACCTGTTACTCATTTCAAAAACTCGAAATATCCAAAATGGTATCATGTATGATACCGTTACATATCATTATGAAAGTCTTCATATTAACATGTTCCCCAAGTAACACTGTTCATGAGAGAATAATGTCGCTACATGCAGCATCCAAATACAGTCAGTGATGGAGAGAAGAGCTTCAGCGCAGAGCTGCTGTCTGACTCTGTGACTCGCCAACTCCTCCCTCTCCTCCTCAGAAACCACTAGAAACTCCGCTAGGCGTGCTAGCCAGCAAGCTAGCCTGCTAACGTCTCTCAAATTCAGCACTGATAAAGACAGGCTGGCTAGCTCGCTGTATTAACTGTCACGTACGCAATAAAATGAGTGAAAAAGAATTAGAGTCAAAGTTAACGGGAAAACGTAACCTAGTTTTCTAACTGCTGTGGTTTAAGACATGCTGACTAGCTGTAAGCTAACCGGCTAGCTAGCTAGCCAAGCTGCTAACACACCCAGCATATTAAACAATGGACACTGACAGCTAACCTTATTAGACGAGGCTGAAGTCGGCTCCCTATCCGCCAGTTCCTTGTTCTAATGTTACGGTTCCACCTTAAATGGTGCAGCACGTCCATTCTAGTGCCTCGGGTATCACAATGTAACTGCTGAACTATTTAAGGTGGAGCGGAAAATTCGAACAAGAAGCTGAACTTCAGCTTCGTCGTTGTTGGCTATTTTGTACCCACCCAAGGGAAATTAGAGCGCTTTTAAACAATCTCTGACGAGCCTCATATACACACCCATGAGCGCTTTGTATGTACAGTGTCCAGACACTGCTCAGACAGCATGTCTGGGAATCAGCCGAGCTGAGCTAACTCCGCTAACTCAGCTAACGTTAGCGGTTTTCCAGCCGAGCCGGGGCCGAACATGTGCACTGAACAGCGCTGAACGAGCGAGGGCTGCTTTGAGCCTTTACGCTTCTAAACTCATAAAGCTGTGTTTTCGATAGCCTGATCATGACATGTTACAGCTTTTTAATCGCACTGCTGATAAATCTCTCATCAGATGTGACTTAATTCAGATAAAGACTCACCATGGTCGCTCTAGGTTGGGTTAAAGCCGCACACGCACCGAAACCAGGAACCCTGCAGCGCTAACGCTGTGACAGTAACGAACGGGCGGCCGGGACGGACATTTCAAATTAAAAGTCTCAGCTCGTTACACTCATAAAACCGGGCGTTTCAGATGTGGAGTCATTATTTACTCTAGCATTGGCAGCATAATAAGTGTAATGAGCATATTTTCAAGCTTCTAAGTGTTTAAAACGCTTCGGTCAAGGAAATGTATCTACATCTGCACTGCAGGGTCTTTTATTTTTGCTGGTTTTATTAATTTATGTGCAGGAAAATATTACAGCAGTTCAGTTCGCAGTTCACAAGCACATTGTTGAAAATAGTTTGGGCAGGCTGAACAAACCATGACAAAAAGAGCTATTTTATGTAATCATGTCTGTAATCATGGACTGGACTACTGAACTGAAACTAGCCTATATAAGCTGCATATTTATGACCGTTTCATTAAAAATGTGTTTTCTTGCTCCTTTTGGGTTGATCGCTCTCTAGACCTGAAAAGAATCTCTGGTAAATAAATTCCCCTTAAAAGTCACGATGTTTTATTACTTTTTGATGACCTTTTATTTAACTCACATGAGCGCTTTATAATACACTTTATTATAATAATAGCTAAACTGTGTATACATAGCTACACTGATCTTTGTGTGCACACAGATTAATGTAATTACATAGCTACATCTGTGAATTTAAGCCGGCAGCATAACAAGAAATTTTGTAAAGCTTTGTTGAAGCTTTTCGATTCTATTTAAATCCCACATGGTGTTCTTTTTAAATTTTGTTTTTTCTTTCTTCTTTATATGTGAATATTGAGCTTTAACATATCCTACTGTTATTCTATTATTGTATAAATTTGGTTATTTGCAAAATAAATAAATAAATAAATTCCACTGCATTCGCCTGAAAATGAAAAATTGAAAAGGGCCTATGCCAAAATACATTTGGGTAGCTTTAGACGATTTATCCATAGCCATGATGTAATAACATTTTTAAAAATTATTTTAAAAAACCCCCAAAGAAATTCATGTACTTTTTGAACCACTATCAATAGAGCACCTTCCTTCATTCAAAAGCAGGAGTGAAAAAAAACTTGAAAAACTCTCAAAACAAAAGTCTCTATATGTAGCTGTTAGAGTGCACTACAGTCTGCTGGAGGTGTTTTCCTTGTGGTTTTACACTACAGTCACCTGAGTGCAGTAGAGCAGGTGATGGGTGGGACTCTGCCTGCTTAAGTAGGCTGGGCAGGAACAGTATTAGATAAAGAGCGCGAATGGTTGGAAGATGGGTGGAGTGAGCAGGAGGAAGAGAAAACTGAAGCTGCTGAGAGCACGAGTCTCTCAGGAGGAACAGGTACATGGAGCAGGATATGAAGAGGACAGAAGCAGAAATTCTTGTAAAAGAGTTGTTTTGATCATCTCAGGAAGGACCTGTGTCTATTCAGCTCAGTGCATTGCCATGGGAGATGGAAAGAGAGGACACTTGAGAATGTACTGAGAGGCACTGAGACTCTACAGGTGCAGTTCTTTGTTGTATACACCTGTGTGAAGGAGACCGGAGGAGGAACATTTACAAAGTGACAAAGAAAATCCCTGTTTAGAGGGAGAACGTCACTGAGAAGCCAAGGGAGGGCCTCAACTACTATTACAACACCACTACACTGCGTAAGGATGATTGTGGGTCTTTTTTAATGGTGAATTCCTGACAATTGCTGCACTAAAGTTAGGCCAGTCATACTGACAAGGCACACACCACTGACCATGCAGCCGGCTGGACTAGAACAGGACGACTGCTTTGATTTCTTGTTCAAGATTATCCTGATTGGAGACACAAATGTAGGCAAAACCTGTGTGGTTCAGAACTTTAAGACTGGAATCTTCTCAGAGAGGCAACAGAACACCATTGGAGTTGACTTCACTGTGCGGACTCTCAATATAGAGGGCAAAAAAGTAAAGGTCAGTTTAATTTTCATTTACAGCTTATGTGACATTATAGTGCTTTAATGCGTGAAACTGGTACAATCCAGCATTTTGTGTGTGGTAACTGGCTGAAACAACTGCCCATTAGAAGTTTTGAGTCAGTGGGTTTCCTTTTCTTTTTTAAATACAAAAGTGGCAAAAATGTTGTTTGTGGTAATCAATTGCCCACAGAAGATAGAGGTTAGGTTGAAAGATGCTGTAGATTCCTTTATTGAAAGGACACAATTTCACTGGAGGAACTTGCTGTGCATCGTTAGATCCTTATCAGCATTCAGGTGTACAGTCAAGTCATTGAGAGGTAGCAGAAAATAAACTAGTCAGACCAGCAGTGGCCTGGGGGGACGTGCTCTGCAGGTTTACTTGAACACACATCCTGCATTGTTTCCCACTACTCACCTTAAGCCTAACCGACCAATTTTCAGGAAGCCACTATTAACAGACAGCAGCCCGAAATTTGTGTAATAGTACAATACACTTCTAATGACCCTTCTGTGAGCAGTGAATGGTAAGGTTAGGTAAAAGCTAACTTGGTTCACCTACTTGACTGAGCAGTTGAAGAACTTGTTAAACCTCAGGGACTGGTAGATTGGAATGTGCGGCATGCTTAGTGTTCTATGACGTGTGTCTGGATCTCCACAACAGGAAATGTGTGGATTCAAGTATATGTTGGGGCGTCGGGTCATATGGGCCAGCAGAGGTGAGTTGAGTAGCCCAAACACATACTTAAGTAAAAGTGTGGTTACACGTCATTGAAATAATGACTCATATACAGTACAAAGGCCATTCTTTTGTTTATTTATGGCTTTTTAGTACAGCTTAGTCATTTTTTCAGGATATTTTGGAGGAGATATATTTAATATAATTCACTTGCATCAGGAAGGGGAAAGTCAAAGATAGTTAAAAGCAGTAGTTTCCACAGCTGGAGTTCAAAAAATGATTAAAAGACATAGAGAAAATGGGGCCACCGAAACTGTCACCATCAGATAAACAGCACTTAAAGCTTTCATCCTTAAGAGGGAGGAGAAAATCAAGCTCCACTCTTGATTCAGATCAGAAAAAATCTACAGGTGTTTCTGTCCATCCTTCCACTGCGAGAAGACAACTCAGTACTATGGGTCTGAAAGGATGTGTAGCTGTGAAGAAGCTGTTACTGAGAAAAGCAAATAGACAAAAGAGAAGAAAATCTGCAAATCAAACAAAGAAGCTGCTGGTGTTCTTAAAACAATGAACTGACCACACCACAAGAGAAGACACACTAAGTACCGAAAGCTTTGAAACGTTTTATTTGTTAAGGCCTCTGTGTGATTTTCTATTAAATATATGTTTCCTGGCTTTTTTCCTGGCTCTGAAAATTGAATAACTTGTACTTAATGGCCATTTGACTGGAAATTAAATACATGAAAGGAGGTCTTTAACTTTGGCACAGTACTGCAGGAGTAAAACTAACCTAACAGCTAACAACTTAAGCAGAAGTAGAAGTGTGTCAGCTGAAACATTTCCTTAAGTGCTGAGTAACTTGTAGAACTGTAGTGGAACCATCTTAGTGCATCCAGCATGTATCAGTATAAGGACTAAAGTCTGTTAGGTACTATTCTTCCCCTTTTGGGCATCATATTGGTCTAAGATAAAATGCTAAAGCTTCAAATTCAGAGGTGTGACTGATCACAAAGCAGTACATATGCTGTCACCAATGAAACATAATTAAATTACACAGAAAACAGGAATAAGTAACTCACTATTAATGACTCAAATTTAACTCAGTGAAAATTATATTACTTTCCTCACAAATTTGAGTAGAAGTAAAATACTCAGGAAAAGACACATCTACTCAACTGATACTTAAGCAAATGTAACTAGTTAGTACTCACATCTGTGGGCCAGTATGGTATGATATTAAGGGACTGTATGCCATAGGCCCTGAATGATAAGACCACTGTTTAGTTAATTTCTTACTAAAATGGCTTTTATTGTACTTTTACCTTTACAGTTTTTTTCATTTTGCTCATTTAGAAATACTATAAATATTCTAGTAATTACCAGCTGAAACAGTAATAAGTCTCACCTATTACCAGACGCCTCATAATACCTGAATCCCCCCTGGGCCTGAAAAGACCTGGTGACACCAGTGAAACCGCCTCTGTGCTCTGTAGCACTCAAACACTAACACTGCACAGTGCTTTACCTCTGGGCTGTTGTGTCTGCTTTCTCAGGTTACATGACGTAACAGATTTGTTCCAGAAATGGAGGAACTTACTTCCTGCTCAGTAGGGTACATTCTAAATAATACTCTTATAAATACTCTTATTAGAGCATTTATTACCACACAGCTTAAAGATCCTGTTTTATTTTTTGTTTTAGTTAAAAAATAATATAATTATTCAGCTCATTTAGCCCTAACAACAACCATACATCATTCATACCATAATCATGCCTAAAATGTTCTAATTTGAGCAACTTATGCATGATCAAATACACTGATTTCAAAAGTTTGCAGTCAATATTTTCAATAATGTAAAACTTGTATGTTACATGAAGTCTAGACTGTGACTGGGATGAATTACGCGTGTACAATATGCTAAGATAGATTAGTGGAGAGCTTCATTCTACAGTCTCTCTCACTTTATCGTTACAATACCCAATTCAGTGACACCCAGCAGACAAGCACTTTAAAATAATGCCAGTTTCTTCATTCTTCAGTCACTAAGATGTGACATCAAGAAAGGAAATGGGGGTTGATCTGGAAAGATAACTGCTAAATCATGTAGGCATCATATGAAATAGTAGTCTGGCCATTTGAATTGCTACGGTTAAGATCAAGACAACAATATCTCAATCAGAATAGCACACCTGACTATGCCTCATATGAAAATATGCAGAGATAACCAAAGAGTAATCAGGCTAGAGTGTGCAGGTAGCAGGTGTGTTCGGTTGCCATGGCGCTGCATCCTCTCTAATGAGCAGAGATGTTAGGAGGGTGAGTAAATCTCGGTGGGACCCAACATGATGCTGCATCTACTCACATTTCATTACCAAGCACCCTTAACACAGTCTAACATAATGCTCAGTGTAAATGTCAATTCACAGGCTAAAAATGACTCCTCCCAAGTACAGGAGATATTTCACGTTTTAAACTATTCAGCATAATGATTTTCAATAAAGTCTCAAATATTTTTCCAGATTATTTCAACTGGTCAAATGTTTCACCAGTCTAAAATTACACATGCTGTCTTGAGTGCTGATGGCATTTGCAATGTGACAGTCCCACCATGTAGATGAAGGAAGGACAGCATTTCAAATAACAGTTCATTTAGATTTTGCATAAGTGACATCAGAGGTGCCTGTAGCTGCACATGTGGGTTCTGTTTAGTTTCACACTGACTCCGTCATAACAAAACCCTGTGACTCCATTATTTTTCCAGCTTTTTTTTTGATTTTCTGAGGTTTGTGAACAAGTTCATGCCAACCCCTGATAAACGTTTAGGTGCCTGCCCTAAGTAAGTGCATGCAGGTTAGTGGCTGGCGAGCAAAGAAATAATAGAGTTTGTGTGGGGGCAAAAATAAATGAGACTTTTTTCTCAAATAAATGGAGATGAGAAAAAAGGACAAAAGGATGAGAGCGGGTCAGAACAACATTGAATTTGTGCTCAGGGGCCTGCCCTGAGATAGTATGTGCGAAATGGTGTCTTTCGGCTGAGCAGAAGTACAGTAGATGGGTGTGCTACTTTCGCACCCCCTTCATTCCTATGATAAAATCGTAATTTATATGTATACAAGCACACCTTCCCGATCAGACCAAACATTCTGAAGTTGGAATGATGCTGGTATCTCAAAAACTGTGAGACAAGTTAGTAGAAAATAAAATAAGAAAATAAGAAAATAAAAATTGGATGACAATAGTGTCACTAATTAAAGTTCCTTTTATAAAGTTACAGAGATGCATGTTTTTTTTTTAATGAAATTAGAGGGTGTAAGAATGTAGAGGGTGGAAGAGCAGTATTTATGAAACTCACAAAAATCATGATCTTTCCAAATAATTCATGGTATCAGATGATATTTAAATTTAAGCATTAATAAAGTTAATGAACCTGAGGACTGTTAAAAATAATGTTTTACAAACTGACTTAGCTTGTTTTGATTGGACTGTGTCATTCTGTTCTGTTACACCAAAGGGAATCTTACTCAGTACTGCAAACATTCTCCAGAATAAAAAATCTGATTTGAAGTTTCTTTCAAAACAGTCCCCTGATGGTAAGCACCCCTGATGGCATACATACGTTGCAGTTAACAACAAATGCAATGAAGGTTTTGTTATCTATCAGTACCCCTAAAACTAAATTTGGTGTGACCTCAATGTCAGTATGGTAGCATAGATGCTATATCATCCAGCACTAGTTGAAGCCTTCTGTGAGTAAAGACTGACCCTCTATCTTCTGTCACAGATGCAGGTTTGGGACACTGCAGGGCAGGAGCGGTTCCGTACCATCACCCAGAGTTACTACCGCAGTGCACATGGAGCCATGATCGCCTACGACATCACCCGCAAGGCCACCTTTGACTCCATCCCACATTGGATCAACGAAGTGGAGAAGTACGGGGCCGCCAACGTCCTTCTAGCCCTGATAGGTAAAAACGACAGCACAGTGCTCATGAAACAAGACTGACTCTTAATGTTACAGGATCTGCTTCCTCTGTCTTATCTGAAACTCACTGCCTGTGCTAAGAAACGGTCTAATAGCAGAACTGAGGAATCCTTGGCACATTCTTCCACTTCATGTACTGCTCTGTAGGCTGCTCTGTAAACTCCTTGAACATGTGGATTCGTAGGGGCCATAGCCTTGCAATAGTTAGTGTTTTGACAGTTATACGTCTTGTAACATATTAACACAGTCTTAACTAGCACAGGCAGGCTGAATCTCTCCCCTAGTCACCACAGAACATAATTTAGAGCAGTTAATTGCTTTGTTGCTGGGAACTACTGAGAAACTGCTTGGCATCTTCATATGATTAATATCTCTCTCAGTCTTAGCATAGTGAAGTCTAGGCCTTCTTTTAACTCTTGCATACTAGTAGTTCTTGATGTCTTTTGTCAGTTGTCTTTTCGGGTCTGCCGCCTCACCACTCACTGTCCACTCTCTTTTGCAGGTAACAAATGTGACCTGGAGTCTGAAAGACAGGTTCACTTCGATGAGGCCTGCTCTTTGGCAAAGGAGAGAGGGATTTTAGTAGCTCTTGAAACCTCAGCAAAGGAGAGCCAGAACGTAGAGGAAGCTTTTGTGATGATGGCCCGCGAGCTGCTGGCACGGAACGGACTGGCAGTGAAAGAGGACGATTCTCAGGTCAATTCACCACGTATCCTACTGCGCTCCAGCTCCAGGCCCATTAACTGTCCCACACAACCCCCTGCGAAAAAGGGGTGCGAGTGCTAACACACGGAAAGACTCTAAAATGAGAGACTTTTGCAGAACTTAGCCAACATGTTACATTTTCCATTGAGCATCTAAAAGGTTGATCGATCAGTATGGAAGTGGTAACAGTGACTTCTCAGTGGCTGCATGCCTACAGCATCTGTAGTACTGGGTTGAAACTGTGAGTGTAATCCTTTTATGGTGATTGGTCAGTTTTTGCCAGTTAAAGCTTATGAATGATACAACATCTTATTTTGAAAAACAAGATTCTTTTATCTGACCAGTCAAACCTGAAAATATGACAGAAGTCACCTATGGGATGATCTACTGTATAGTCAGCAGCCACTTTATTAGAAACCGCTACCTTGTTGGTGCACAGTTAGAGACTGTTGTGTTAGCTGTCCTCTTGCCCTTCATCAATGGTCAGTTTCTGACCACAGAGCTGCTCTTCGCTGGATATTTTTGGGTAGTGGACCACTCTTAGCCTAGCAGTGACACTGAAATGTTGGTCACACAATGGTCCACCACTCAAATAATATCCTGTGGTCAGAAACTGACCAGTGATGAATAGGTTTGAGTGCTGTGGGGGGCAAATCGTGCTCAACAACAAATGGGCTACAGTCTGTAACTGTACGCTTACATCGTAGACATACAGTCATGTACAAATGTTTGAATGTGTTTTTTTCTAAGCGATATTCTTTCCAAGGAACAAACTTAAATGAGGCATTTTTCTGCGAATTTTAATGCACAATTTCTAATTTACTTGCTGAGTTTAACATATTAGACAAAATAGAACATACAATTGAAAAGGTGCCACAACATTTGCACAGGCTGCATTTTATAATTTATTTTTTTGAATATGTTAAATTCAGCAAATAAACAGTTGAAATAAACTGGTCATTAAAATGTGCATAAGTGTGTTCTCTGTTGAGATGTTTACTTATTTTCACAAAACATCATTTAAACAGTCACCCAAGCTTTTGCATGCCACTGTATATGGAGCACATAAAGTGACCACTGAGTGGACATACAAGGTAAGTATTTTTAATAAAGTGGAAGGTGAATGTGCGCAGCTTTAAATCTCCATCAGATTCACACTGTAGCTCAAGCTCTGGTGAGGACATTATCAAATAGCACTCACCTCTACATGAATGAATCTCAGGCAGAGACAGCAAAGCACCCGAATCTTATAGTAACTTTTAAGGGCAAGGTTTGTTCACCACTGACCGTAGAGGTCACTGTTTAGAAAAATATGATCCTTCCTGTCATATACATGTTTACGTCTGTGGCCACTACTACTGATTATGGATGAAGGATGAACATAATGGTTTGGGAGATGCACAGAGATGCATCAAACAAAATAAAAAAAGAAGGCAATTTCTTTGTTAACGCAAAAGAAGAATCAAAAAGATGGAACCCATAATTAAACCATGCGCCCCCGTAATTCATAACTATTCATCTTAAGACAAAACCCCAAGCCTCTATTGTTTTTCTGACTCTTTTCATGCATATGTTCCTCATATCTTTCCACTACAGAGAACTTTCACATTGCATGCCACCCAACAGAAATGTACATTAACCTTCTCATGAGATCAGCTGAGACTAAGCTGGGATGGTGAAGATTAGGACATGCCTCCTCAGACACGTGAAGCACTGGTGCATTTTTCAAATTGCCACTGATGCAACAACATTATGCAGCTCAACACGTTTGGAGGTGAACACTAACCCTCCAATTCAGTTATGTCAGCTACCAGCGCCCATGCTGGATGGCACTGTGCTGAGTGATGGAGAGAGGGAGGACCATCCTACCCACCTAGAGAGGGTGAGGCCATCTGGATGGCTGTGGCATCTCCAAGGATCATCACATGGTCTCCTGATGATTGGGCCAACACTTGCACCACTCTGGAGCCCTTGTTTGTGCTTTTGAGACATTTTGAAGTACCCAACCTTAAAGCTTTATTAGTACAGTGTGTATAATCTGTGGTAATGTGTTTCTGTATAGACACCAAAAAGTGTTACTGAGCCCGAGATACACATCCTGCATATCCAGTTTACTGTGACTTTTAACAGACATGAAAACTCAGGAGCAGTGAAAGGTGACAAGTTTAGTCTCCTTGTGGCAGCGGCATCATTACTACGACACAATTCTGTTATTTTAACATGAAATTCTGGTGCAATTTGATACTAAAATACAGGAGTGATTGCTGTGGAATTTAGTTTGCAAGTTCATCAACTAGACAAGTCCACAAATGTTAGGTTGGCAGATCTGATATCAATTAAAAAAAATCATGGCCACTCAAGTTTTGCACATCATTTGTGTTCTGCTGGCCCCATGAGACCCTGATGATCACCTCTTGCGGTGTAATTTGTAAACGGTACTTTAGCTCTCATGGCAGTTACAATAATTCACAGCAATAAACATGTTGAAGCAAATTAATTGAAAGCTGACCATTACGGTTTCTAATTATCAGTTTTATTTTTAGTGATGCATCAATACCATTTCTTTCAGACCAAGTACAAGCACAAATTTTAGTAGACGCTGATGCCGAGTCCAGTACTATACTAAGTGACCTACGTAGAATTAAGTATTTGTTTGTGTAAATGTGTGCAACCCTAACAGTTACATCATTAAATTTAGCTGACTTTAAAAGAAGCACATTAGCTAGCTATGCTGTATTATTTAACATTACCTTTGATTAAATAGTGCTACAGTGGAGAATACTGGACTTTGTTCACATCAGAAAAGCACTTCTGTACAGCTGTAAGTAAAGCCCATTTCATAGTTTTGATCCTCATCTGTCTTTCAACAGGAAAACCATTGAGTTTTAATTCTAAAGGTTTGTAACGGTCCTTTTTTTAAAAATGCCCAACGGCTTTGTGTCCGATTGACAGAGTCAGTAACCCTTCTGAGTGAGCAGACCTGTATTTGTATTTATTCATTAGCGCAGCAGTGCACGCTAAGCTTATGTCATAGCTGTGCGGGTGTTGGTATTGGTGCATTTTTTTGAGTGCAATATTGATGCATCCCTAGTTTTTATAGTGAAATAATGTAAGCTGTTTATGAAAGAAATTCACATATGCAAAAATTAAACTCCACTGCTCACAGGGTTATCTTTTAAATTTTTATCTTAAATTTTGGCAAATGAAGACAGTTTGCTTGTATACATTAAAGATCAAAATTAAAGTCTCGTTATGTAACGGCTATTAGAATGCGTTTTTAATTTACTTTCCTACAAGATCCAAAAAATTGCCATTGCCAAATTCCCTGCTGCAGTGTTTAAACTGCACAAGAAAGCGTCTTTACATAAATCTGAACAGACAACTTCAAATGCAAATGAAACTAAAAATTTTATTTAATGCAAATAATATACAATTTAAGTGGCTTGATGCCTTATTTGCTCACACTATTCCAACAGTGTGATGGAACAAATTGTGTTTTACAGAACAAGGGAAACTTTTTTTTACGATTGGGAACTTTCGTCAAACTGACAAATACCACTGAGGGAAAATCCCAAAAAAAGGTTACACCCAAAACGGGTGCTGGAAAACTCCTGCCCTGCACATTTTAGTGAAAAGGCTTGTTAATTGCCTGAGTATTTGGATCAAGAGACCAAGAGACCAAAATTAGGAACCACAGTCTTAAACCAACTTCTGCTTTTTCATTGTACGCCAACGATCTTTGATATTCACCGCTGTGCGGCCTTTAAAAGGGAACGAGCACTTGATTTTCTCCCATCGGCCTTCTCCATAACGAGCCACTCCTTGCTTCACCCAGTCTGACTCTTCGTTGGTCCACATCTGCAACAGAAAGACCGCAAACAGTTTAAACAAGTCTCAAAGTAAACACCATACCCCTAACAGAGCAAGCCATAAAACCATAATTAAAGCCATATTAGCTTATCCGTTGTCTCACCTTTCTTTTGCCTTGGCTGTCACTGCTTGATGAGCCTTGTCCTAAAAAGAAAGGAGGGGGGTGGTTGGAAAGTGTGGCCCATTTTAGTGAACTGAAGTTACATCTGCATTTGCAGAATCTCTTTTTTTTCGAAGAGCCCAGGGTAATACACTTATATAACGTAATGATACAAAAAAAATGCTATATGAAGCTGTATTTTTTTTTTTTTTCGCATATCATTACTTCTTGATGCCTTCTAAGCATTTTAAATATCACCATCGTCAAAAGAAAATACTATGATTTTTTTTCTCCTTTTCCTGATTAGTAAGATTAAATCACTGAGGTGGGCTTAATTTTCGGAAAAAAAAAGGCAACCTGCCCATTCCTTCTGAAAGTGCGATCCGTTTGAAGGGGATGAATGCACAATCCCATTTCCAAAAAAGTCGGGATGCTGTGCAGAATGTAAATAAAAATAGGATGCAATGATGTGCAAATCATGTGAACCATATTTTTAAAGGAAAATACTACAAAGACAACATATCAAATGTTGAAGCTGAGAAATTTAATTGTTTTCTGAAAAATATATGCCCATTTTGAATTTGATGCAGACAACACGTTCCAAAAAAGTTGGGACAGGAGCATGTTTACCACTGTGTTTCATCACCTTTTCTTTTAACAACACGCAGTATGCGTTTGGGAACTAAGGAGACCAATTGCTGTAGTTTTGAAAGTGAAATATTTTCCCATTTGTGTTTGATATAGGATTTCAGCTGCTCAACAGTTCAGGATCTCTTTTGTTGTATTTTTCAGTTCATAATGCGCCAAATGTTATCAGTGGGTAACAGGTCTGGACTGCAGGTAGTGCTGGGCGATATGGCCAAAAATGTTATCACGATAAACAGAATTCATATGGTTTGATATCGATACATACTGCGATAAAATGTCAAATCATTATTTATTTCAAGTTTGAAAGCAGATTTTTGCTCCTGGGTGGTTAATTGCTGTTTTAAACTATCCTTTATGGTCGGAACACGACAAACACTCACCAAACAGTGGAACATTTCACAAATCTGTCATGGGAGAGTGGGAGAAAGTGTCTGGTGAGCTGTTTTTACCAGCTGGAAAAGCATGGCTATTTTGTAATAGTCATGATTTAAGAAAGAAAACAGATCATTTTTAGCTGGTGTCGAGCGCTCGGCTACCCCACTACAAACAACATCACAGTATTCAGACACCAGCTAGCAACGACTGGATTTCTCTATACTATCGTAGAAGTTTAAGTGGTGAACGGCAAAACATCAACGCCAGACAAACAGAGTCCTCCTTTTAGGTACGTTTAAACTGAAAGCGGTGCTTCTGTGCCATGTTTGATGTACAGTATCATCAGTTCTCCGTGTTGTGGAGTGACGGAACGCTGCTTCAAGTTAGCCAGCTGCTAAAAACAGCTAGCCTGAAAAGACAGCGCTCTCCCGCTCTCCAATGCCTCACAGCTTCCTCAGTTTACTTTCGTTTAAATCAGGGCTGTAATTTACATGAACCCACTTCTTTCTTTCACTTTCGTTGCTTGGGAATGCACTAATACTAAATTATGACTGTCCGAGCGCTGTAACAGCGCTTTAGTTGTGAGGAGTGTGATTGTCATTTAACACTGCTAAAGCTGGTTAGGATGTTAGTAAAGAGGTGAGTTCGCTTCAGGACAGTACAGTTACACCACTGACCTCGTCACTCACACTCGGTCACAGGAGAACAGATCGCCGGTCGCTCCTATCAAACAGGGAATGTGTAACTCCGCGTTTCAGCCGTTGCTAAAGACTCATCTTACTTGTGGCCCCCTCCCTCTCTAATCATGTAGAAAAACTCGGAAGTTCGCCCTCTCCTGGCGACAGCAGAGTAGTGTCGCTTTCCGTGCAGTAGAAAATGCCACCAGGGCTTTTGCTAGAACATGGAAGTGTGAGAATGGTGTATTATATCGAACATTTATCGAACGTCGTATCGCTCTAACGAGGAAAAGTTATATCGCGATAATTATCGTTATCGTTTTAGCGCCCAGCCCTAACTGCAGGCAGGCCAGTTTAGCACCCTGAGTCTTTTAATATGGAGCAATGCTGTTGTAATACATGTAGAATGTGGTTTGTCATTGTCTTGCTGAAATTAGCAAGGCCTTCGCTGAAAAATACATTGTCTGGATGGCAGCATATGTTGCCAAAACACATATATATCGTTCAGCATTAATGGTGCCTTCACAGATGTGCACGTCACCCATGCCATGTGCACTAACGCACCTCCATACCATCACGGATGCTGGCTTTTGAAACTGCGCACTGATAACAAGCTGAGTGGTCTTGATGTCCATAATTTCCAAAAAGAATTTCAAATGTTGATCCGTCGGCCTTTTCCACTTGCTCCGAGTCTATTTCAAATGAGCTCAGGCCCAGAGAAGCTGGCAGCGTCTCTGGATCCTGTTTATATATTGTTTCTTCTTTGCGTTTTAGAGTTTTAACTTGCATTTGTGGATGCAGCGACAAACTGTTTTCACAGACACTGGTTTTCAGAAGTGTTTCTGAGCCCATTCAGCGATTTCCACTACAGAATCATGTCTGCTTTCAATGCAGTGCTGCCTGAGGGCCCGAAAAACATGGCCAGCAAATACTTTTTTTTGGCCTTGTCCCTTGCATACAGAGATTTCTCTGGATTCTCTCAATCTTTTAATGTCATTATGTATCGTAGATGATACAAAGCAAACATTCTTTGCTATTTTACGTTGGGAAACGTTATTCTTGAATTGTTGCACTATTTGATTGCGCAGTCTTTTACAGAGCGGTGAAACCCTCCTCATCTTTTCTTCTGAAAGACTCAGCCTCTCTTTTATACCCAGTCATGCTACTGACCTGTTGCCAATCAACCACCAGGTGTTTTTATTTATATATTTTTTTTAGCATTACACAACCTTACCAGCCTGTTGTTGCCTCTGTTCCAACTTTTTTAGAACGCGTTGTTGGCATCAAATTCTAAAAGGGCAAATATTTTTCAAAACACAAAATTTCTCAGTTTTGACATTGGATATGTTGTCTTTTATATTATTTTCAATTAAATACAGGGTTTAAATGATTTGCACATCATTGCATTTTGTTTTCATTTACATTTAGTAGTAGAAAAATTCAAAACGCACAAAGCATCCAAAGAGATTTTGTACCTCGGGCAGACGTAGAGGTGGAGGGAGCAAACAGGGATTCTTCATCACTCCATAGTTCCCGCTGGCCTGTCACGTTCATCAACCTGTAGTGATAAAAGCTTACATTAAGCCCTATTCGAACATGAAACAAAGTTAAAAAAAATAATAAAATTCCTCCTACCCACAGAAAATTACAGGCTGAATCATTTTTCACCAAACACAGCAGTCATCTGATAAATAGTCTCATCCAGATACACAACTCTGTGGTTCTCGTGGATGTCCAGGCAGATGTTGCACTGTATTGGAGGTTTTTGATACTGCTGCTACTCAACATATTTAGTCTTGCATCGCCCATATCCATACTAAACATATTTAAAATCATGAAACAGATTTGCTTTAGAAGTCTTTCAACCATTTACTTGGTCTGGGTGGTAGAACATTTTCTCCATACTCTCTACACTGGGAGAACATTAGCAGGAGGAAAATGTGAATAGGGAAGGAAAATAGACCACCCCCTGCTGTTTGCATTCAAAATGTAGGTTTACAATGACCTAAAGGTGGTGTGCAAAACAGGTCGTACAACACACCTTCTCTCTCCCAGATTCAGTCAGATCTGACACTATGTCAATGACTCAAATTATTAACTGACTGTAATGGACAGAAATAGTTTGAGTTTTCCCAAAATGGACCACAAAGTTTGTTACACAGATGAAGTCACTCACATACATGCTATGAAGCAGCACCAGCACTGAGACAAGGATTTTGTAATTTAACTGTATTTTAATTTTGACTGATCTATATGGTTCAGGAAGATATTCTGCTATTATGTTGTATTTGTAGCTACTGCGCTTGTACAGTCTCAAGACTGTTTCACAAAAAGTTCCAGCTTTCAGTAACATTTAATCCATTAAAATCTCCAAACAGTGAAAGGAACAGAAAATCAAAATGTTTTTAATGCAGCCAGCAGGTAGCATAAGCCTTCTCTTCTAGATGTTTTACTATCCTTCACACCAATCTTTAAAAAATGAACAAGCATTTATAACCCTGTATAGTTACTGGTTTACAGTCTTTGAATAAATGTTAAAATCTTGGTATTACTGGTGAGGCCTGGTTTCTCCATAAGCACTACAGCACACAAATCATGGATATATGGAGACCAAGGTATTCTTATTAACACTAGCAGCTATGATTTCAGCACAGATACAAACCTTCTATAGGTGGACTGGTTAGGTCTTCTAGCTGAGGCAGGAGAGTCCATCACGATGCCCTCTTCACTTCCGCTTTCACTATTTCTGCGCCTCCTGAAGGACACATCCAAACAGCAAATACAGAATAACTGAACTAACCAAAGAACAGAGGATTTTTGTGCCTTTTGATGAGGCCTCTAAACTATTGCCCAAGTGTTTTTTTTTGAGCATATTAATGGAATAAAGTCGTCACTTGATAAACAGTGAGAATGAAAGGTAAGACACAATAAACTGGCAGTCTAAAAAGCTGTTTAATGAGTCTCACATCTTCAGGGTCTGTTTGTGGAGTTCATCAGGTGTGCATTCAGAAGACGAGGGGCTGGGGGATGCCCCCTTCATAGGGGTGGACCAGTTCTGTGGCTCAGTTGGCTGCTGGGGGGACGCAGGCTCTGGTTCACTAGGAATACTCCTCCTGTGGAAAAAAACAGCACTTCCCTTATTTATTTCCCATAGTAATCATAATTACTTAAATGAGGATACCGAACAGCTTACTTCAAGAAAAGGTCCACTAATTCTTTTCAAAATTTCTGTTCTAGAGAAACTAACAAAGTCAAAAACACAGCGGAGATAGGAACCTGGCAACTGAGGAGTTTAATGAGTCAAAGTTACATGACATGGTTTTAAATAAGCTGCTTGAAGTCTGAGACGTTGTTTTACGACTGACAATTTAGGTTAAATCCTTATCTGAAAATATTTTTTAAATACATTTCATAGCAGAGATGTACACGAAATGTATTCTAAAAGCAAAACTGTAGTATTTTTTTCAGGTTTACCATAATTTTACCATCCTCAACACAAAAGACATGTGTAGGTTCACTAGTCATTCTGGATAGTAATTCAAATGGCTTTATTTACAGTCATTTGGACTACACTGTAGTCATTTGGAGCCCTGGTTCCTATTAGCATCACTGTACAGACATTTTTACATTAATATGTAACCTCCAACTCCATTTACAGCAGTTAGCTCTGTCCACTCACACTAAAGTTACAGTGTTTCAGCCCAGACTGCTTTTTGAATGAGGTGCAATACAGGACATTCAGTCAGAACAGGTGTAATTTATATGTTTTAAATGTACTGTTACAAAACAAATAAACCTGTTTAATTGTGAGTGATAAAGAGAGGTTGGAAAACAGTTAGTTTAAAAAAAACAAACGAACAAACAAACAAACAAACAAAAAAACCCCACCAGATTCTGCATATCACCCATCACTAATTTTTTATTTTTTATCTATTTTTTTTATTATAACAGCTGATGTACCACTGATACAACACTGCTCACTGCAAACAGAAAACAGGTTTACCTGTTGGAAGCCGGTCTGCGTTTTTTCCTGACTGGTGTAGAGTTTATGGGCAATGACCGAAGCGGATCATCTTCACTGGATCCTGTTTTCAGGGGGCTGGGAGTCTGTTGACAATCGGTGGCTTCCATATCACTGGGCTGACTATCCTCCTCAATCACTAGCTGTGCTACCGTGATGGCAGACACAGCAGCACCTGGACTTCTCTTGCTGTTTTCAAGTGGATGTGCATTTGTGCTTTCTGGAGTAGCTGAATTCACCTCCCTGACTTGGTATGGAGCTAAAATGGAGCCACTTCCTGAAGTCTCCATGATGCTACCTGTTACTGTTAGGTCTCCTGGCCTTTCTTTCTCCTGTTCCACAGGCTGGTCTATGCTGTGGTCATCTCTATTGGGCTGTGCCTGAGAGGATCTTTCTTCAACTGCACTCCCATTCTCCTCATCCTGACGCAAAAACACATCCACTGGAGTCTCAGAAAGCCTGAGATTAAGCTCATTTAGTTCAAGGTCTATTCCGCTCTCCTGCTCTGCCTCCTTCTGCACCTCCTCCTCCAGCTGAGAGAAGGAAGCTGAAACTGAAAAAATCTTGGCAAGTTCTAGATAAACAGTCCTGAGTCTGTTCAGACTAAGTGGCACTGTTACCGAAGGACAGGTGGGCTGAGCACTGCTAAAGAAGAGAAAGACAAGGAGAGAAAACATAGATCATTGTAGGTGTGGGCAATATATGATTGGAAATTACACAACTATACACTTTCCTTAATATAGCATGAGTAATGGGTCACTGCATGACTGATGAAAAAACGAGATTTAGACCAATTATACAGAACCTAACACCAACAACCAACGAATTGTAAATGCATAAACTGCACAATGACAGGTAGCAGCCTGGATGTCAGCCCATTATGCCATTATTTTATTCATGTATTTTTATAATAATTTTTTTTTCTTGTTAGAGATTTTTTTGCAAATGTTAAACAAATAAATAGAGAAATAAATATTGTATAATCATTTATAATGAATAAAAATAATATCTACAGGGAGATCTTTCCATTATTCTTGTAAACAACTTCAAAAATTAGTGCTGGTTGCACTTTCTGCACTCCAATCAATCAATAAAACCTTACTCCACATCTCACATGTCTAGTTTCGGTGTTCTATTACAAATTTTCTTCTTTTTTAGTCTATCTTCTATTTAACAACTTCTTGACAGCTACACATCTTTTCAGACACAAGTTGTCTTCTCACAGTGGAAGGACGGACAGAAACACCTGTGAATTTTTCAGATCTGAAGCAAGAGTGGAGCTTGATTTTTTCCCCTCTCTCTCACTCTCACTCAGAGGCTTTAAGTACCATTTTCTCTGTATCTTTTAATATTTTTTAAACTCCAGTTTTTTCACTTATTTTCCACTGACTTCCCGCTTCGTTATGCAATTGGATCTTATATCTCCATTTCATTATCAGTTTTACATACAAGTGAAAGAAATCTGCAAGACCGCTAAGGTGAATTTTGGTAGTTACTTGTGTGAACGTTACAGTGTTTGTAGGGGACCATAATGTCAGTGACTCCTTGGGAGCACCTTCTGTTGGCAAGACACGGCTGTAAGTTGTTTAAGATTTTAATTTTAAGATTGGAAGAACAGAACAGTTAGAGTGGCAGAAGCTGCACAAAAGTAGAGTGGACTAATTAAATACAGAGATATTTGATAGCACACAACGCAAGTTAGTGAACGCTAATGCTCGGCCCTTCTGTACAAACTCACCGTGCGTTCTGATGTTACAGTGGCGGTTAAAACGTTCAGTTCTGAAGCAGACGACAGAGGACAAATCAAAGAGGGATCTACTGTTATTCCAACAGCCTCAACAACAAGGGTCTAGCCGCATAACCTCAGACCCATACATGATGCGATGTATTAGTTGAGAAGCTCAGTAGCTACTCTATGTTGAGTTTTATTACATGGAAGGCATGAAAGGCAGTTTTTAGAAACGCTTAAACACCTTCCCAGCAAACACTGCAATGTTGTGACAATGTTCCAAGCTACAAGTGCGGGAGCTAAAGATGTTTTACTGCAGCGCAGAAGATGGGCACTACTAGGGCCTGCAGCGCTAAACATAAACAAGTAGAGGAGACCCTTTCTGTTGGCATCATATTTATGTTTATGTAAGCCATCTTTTCGTAAGTCTCAACTGCTCGTCTGCTATGGCGGCAGAGAAAGCACGGTGGCGGTACAACACCGCTTGGACAGACTTGGCTGTCATTATAGCGCCGACTTGCTCATGCTCAGAATGAAGTTCATGCTTGTGTTATGCTATGAAGTGCATTGTGACACTTTTTGAATGCAGCTATGCGTGAAACCCTGTAGCTTGAAGCGCTGTGTTTGCATTCTTCTGTGAAGTATGTATGTACTGTGTGCTTTTGGTCAAATCTAAGTTTCCTGCTTTTTTCTGACAATGAAAAAGGAACAACTCACGCTTAACTGCCGTTTTCACTGGAAATTAAATAAACAAATACATGGTCTCTGACTTTTGCTTAGTGCAAGACACATGAACTATAAATGAGAGCGAAGACAATTAACCAAAGTACCGGTGGCCATTTCTGGCTGGTAGGTTTGGTCCAGGCTTCAACAGACAATGTTCTGCAACTGTCTGCTCACTGGGCAGTTGCTTGCTCTGCGTGGCTCTGTCCTGTGTGGATGATTGTTCATGCGCTGCCCGAACAGCTCTGGGAACCCCAACGTCAATCCTCTGCCCTTGTTTTGCCGACTTGACTATCTTTAATGAAAACAATAACATGCCACAATACCACAACTAAGCATATGATAAAAGGATCCAATAAGTTATTATGGATTAGAGCTGCACTATAAATCATAATTTGTTATCATCAAGTTATCCAGCCAGCAGAATGTGTTTCTACAGCTGGGATTAGTATCCATTAAGACCCAAGAAGTCTGACCTTGACCAAGAATGGTTCTGGAAGAGGGTAGAGTTTCTCAATGAAGTCCAGCATGTCCTGTTTGAATTCACTGTATGACGCTGACTTAATCACTGCGTGTCTGCTGCATCTCCTTTTGATGAGATCCTCAAGCAGCTTTTTCTACAGAACAGGATGAAGACGAAAGTTCGGTTTTGACCATTATCCATCACTCTAACGAGAAAGACGAAACACACTGAACAACTGTTCCCATTACTTTAAGCATTTATCACAAGAACATGACCTATAAAGCCAATTTACCTTGCCGGCGGAATCTGTTCCTCTGGGAAAGTATCTGTGCAGCATGTCTCCAGCTTTTTGAAACTGTTCATTCTTGATGCAAACGATAACAAGCTGCAATACAAACAGAGATTTCTATTTAAACACAATCTCAAACAGTGCCATAAGGCACTGGAAACATTTCACTTTTGAGCTCATCACAATTCACAACTGCTTAAGAAACAATCTCACCATTTCTCTGATCGAGGTGTGTACTTTCTCCAAGTCATTTTGCAAAACCTCTGTTTCTGTACAGATATCTTCAAATGTCTTCAAGGCCGACTCCAGCGGGGTTAAGTGGTTCTGAAATCTAACATCTGCAAAATGAACAGAACATGAGCAAAGAGGAACCTTAGACTAAATGAAAGGGGAAAAAAATCTACTTCAAACAGTATCTTGAGTTGACAGGCTCACCAGGTTTGTCCCCATCATTTATCTGTGAGAGAAACTGCATTAAACGCAGTTTGATCTTCATGTCACTGCATCCATCGATGGGTCTGACCACCAAGGCTGTATTCATTTTTTGAAAGATAAGACCTTGTTAGTCAATGAATGTGCTATACATCTCCTTGATCTTTCCTGCTACAAAGAACTGACCAGTTGACAAGCCCATGTTCTTTACAACTGCTATGGCTATTGCTTTGTTGCTGCTGGACAGCCTATTAAAGGCTACTAATATTGGTGTAAAGGTCTACTGCTTCAACACAGTATTAATAAAATATTAAATGATTTTTAATACTGTTTTACAGTATTTTATATCTGCAGAAGCAAGTTTTATGCCAAAAATATAAAAAAATTGGACTAAATCTTGATCTCAGAAACAAAAACTGTATCGGATCTGAAAATGTGTATCATTACACCGTCAGTAAAAACAGAAACCTTCAATAGTAATAAATAAACGCCAAATAAACATTTAAAGCTTAATGTTTTGCCAATTCGGGCCATATATATAGTCCATCTGTTTCTCTGCATACTTTGTTAGCCCCCTTTTGGACCCTCACAAAGCAGGTATTATTTGGGTGGTGAATCATTCTCAAGCACTGCAGTAACACTGATGTGGAGGTCGTGTGTTAGTGTGTGTTGCACTGGTCTGAGTGGATCAGAAACAGCAGTGCTGCTAAAGTTTTTAAACACCTCAGTGTCACTGCTGGACTCAGAATAGCCCACCAACCCACAGTGTCCTGTGGGCAGTGTCCTGTGACCACTGATGAAGGACTAGAGGATGACCAATACAAACTGTGCAGCAGCAGATGAGCTATCGTCTCTGACTTTACATCAACAAGGTGGACTGACAAGGTAGGAGTGTCTAATAGAGTGGACAGTAAGTGGACACAGTGTTTAAAAACTCCAGCAGCACTGCTGTGTCTGATCCACTCGCACCAGCACAACACACACTAACACACCACCACGTCGTAGAAACAAGGAGGTGGTCGTAATGTTATGCCTGATCGGTATGTGCATTATATATATATATATATATATATATATATATATATATATATATATATATATATACACACACACACACACACACACACACATACATACATGTATACATATACACACATAACAATTCTGAGTGTAGGACACAGCCACTCTGAATGACTTTGTTTACATCAATGTACTTATGCAGAAATTGTGAAAAATGGAAACAGAGTGGAAAAGTGGAACCCCCTTCAAACAGGCTGCTTCATATTAACACTGTAGCTAAGTTACCGACCATGACGGGCAGAAGCAAACCTCGCAATTAATCAGGGTAATTAAGTAGTTAATCTACACTTACAGGTTACCAAGCTATCCAAGGCTGCACTGTTTCTTCAAGTCCTCAAATAACGTTGCATAACATTTAACAGTATGTATCGATGAGCTGATTCAAAACATAAGATGTTATTCCTGTGGTTTCTCTCCGTGTTTGGTGTGTTAGTTAGGTTAGCTAACCTTGTCAGTTTGTTGCTGTGAGCGAAGGAGAAACACTCCACAACTCCACAACACAGGAAGCGTTAACTGCTCCGGTTAAACAGTCCAACATCACACCACCTACCTTCGATAAGATCCCTGAACTGAGTGAAACCGCTGTAATCTGCATTTCGAAACGCGTCCACAGCTCTGGAGGCGTAAAAGTCGAAGTTCCATCTGTTAATCAGCTTCTCACAGCCGAGCTGTTTCACAGCCGCCGCCATGTTTAAGCAGCTCTCTCCGCTGTGGTGGCGGGAAACCCGCTCTCCGTTCGGACAGAGCGCCGCCTACCGGCCTGCTCACAAAAACACAGGAGTCAGGCCTCTGCGCTGTGTTCCTGCAGCACAGGAGGGGGCAGTGAGACCCCTCTTAAGGCAGGACGCTGATAAAAACACCGCTCGGGATTTTTTTTACTGCCGATTTCTTTACAGACGAATTAGCGGATGCCTGTTTTTGGCTGATTTCTATTTCCAAGACTTTTTTGTGAGTGGCGTTAAATAACATATTATAACATAAAATATCTAAAAAAAAACAAAAAAAACAAACAAAAAAAAAAAACAGGATGGTATTTATGAATTACTTTTGTATCTCGAATTATAATTAATTTTGTCAGTGGTGCTACAACTTGTGCTGGTCAGTGTAACAGTCAGCGTAACAGTGTGACCCTGCTGACCATTGCGATGGTAGAATGACCCAAACAATAAACTGCCCTACAGCTCTAATTTTAGAAAGTGATCGCACATTTTTGGGCATTTGGGCAAAACACATTCAGTAAGGGTCCTGGTTTGCGTAATGGCAACTCTGAGAGTCAATATAAGTGTTTGATGATGGTATTTTTCCCTGATGATGTCCAGTCCGGGCCAGGAGCGTCCTTCTTTCAGTCCTACATGAGCCTTCTTGAGCTTAGTCACATTGTGAATGTAAATCAGTTGGATGTTGACCAGGAAAATGTGGTTACCTCCAGTTTAGTACAGGTTGTCTGTTGACTGTGCAGGATTTTCACAGCCCCCCCTATTTTTATGAGGGTAAAAATAACAAAACTATAGAAATACGAAAGCAAAGAAAAAAAAACACTTTCCTCCTTTACTTCCTGTGTAATAGGTACGTAATACATGACAACCGGGGCACTTATTTCTTCACACTTTTTACACGGCCTCTACACTTAAAGCCAGTATTTCAACTAAAGGTCTTACTAACAATATCAGCATCTTACCCCACAGACAGGCTACAAATATTCACCAGTGTTCAGGAGAGTGTCGGTACAAAACAACGCACATATCACACATGGTCAGTTTAGGATCTACACGGACGCACGAGCGCAGCCTGTGATGGTTTACATGCTGTAACATCTGCTGCTCCGTCGACAGCGCTAAATTTGAGTCCTGAGTCTACAGGATTTGTTGTCACTACCAGAAAAAGTTCTGTAACTTCATGATTCAGAGCTGCATGTGCTCCGCCAATACCGAGGCGTGTCGGCTCTCCGTGTTGAGGGTGTGGAGAGTTTGGAGGGGCTGTAGTTTGCCACGTCGGAGTAGGCGGAGGGGGAGGGGGAGGGGGAGGGGAGGAGGTGGGGAATGGAGCGCAGCTTCATCTAACTTAAAGCACTGAATGTACACAGATATTTTTACTGCCTATGGAGGCCTGTGAGGTTGTTAGCCTGACTAATTCGTGTTTGTATGTGTGAATGACTGAATACTATAGCGAGTCTTTTCTGTTTTCCCCCTCAGGGCTGGGAAGGGCACATATTCACGCAGGGCTCGTTCTGCTTTTGTACCCCACCTGGTCTAAAAGTTAACTTCTCAGCTGAAAATGGCCACTCAGGAAGACTGAAATGATCTGATCCTTTCCTTTTTTAAAGACAAGCGTTTATAGACCTACGTTGAATAAACAAAACCACTCATTTGTGTTGTTCTTCACCGTTTCAACCTAAGCATGAGCCTAAACCACTCTCAGCTACAGTAAACACTGATTCAGATTAGACCTTCAGCAGATTTTACTGAGGGCTTATCAAAACCTGCAGGAGTCTGAATGTTTACTCTGATGTTAGGCCAAAAGCAGTGTGGATAACCGCGTTATCTTCAGAGTTAATTGAGACTTCCTGTCTCTACAAGTTTAACCTCAGTCTCAAAGGAATCTATCGCTTCTGTTTCTAGCTTATTTTCAGAGCTAATGGAGGCTAATATCATTCGTATTACTGCGCAGCTTTGCTTCAGAGGACTATCACTCGTGTGTACAGTCACAGTCTCAGCTAATGTCATTCCCGTTAAACCGGGATAAATGTAATTCCTGTTTAATTCGCAGTTAATCGAGAATAACAGTTAGTTTATACTCAGTTTTAACTGTTTTAACTCTGCACAGTTCAGAGTTTTAAGCTCCTCGTAAAGAAGAGACGCCCCTTTTCTTTCACCCTGAAAACGACGAGCTCGGTTGTTATTTTTTCCGCCTGTATTCCGCGTAACTCCGTCTAGTGTGTTTAGGGGGTTGGCAAGTAGAGGCCGCCGTGCTGCACTGTGATTGGTTAACAGTTCTTACGTGTGGCGTGACTAAGCCAATCCTAGTGTAGGAAGGCAGCGCCTGTCCTAATACGGGTGTGGAAAAAAGCGCCACGCTCCCAGCACTGCATCGCATATCTCCCAACATCCAGAGCCCAGTGTCGAGTTCGCTCAGCCAGTACGCATTTCGGAGGAGCCGGAGCAGACATGGCTGTGAAAAACAAAAACAAGAGCGCCAACTCGAACGACAAAACCCCCTCAAACCATCAAGATGACGTGGCAAAGAAGAGCCCCAAAGTGAGTAAAGCGGACAGTACGCCGGTTCCGAGCTGTGGCTCTGGGTCAGGAAAACTGGGCAAGTTTATATCTGGACTGTGCTACTTGATTTTAGCCGCTGGAGCGGGTTTCGCATCGTTTTATGTCCAGCAAGTGCTCACAGAGGTCAATCAAGTCAGCCTGCGAAATGAAGAATCGATGCAGAAGAGCGCACAAATGGTCCAAAAAGTTGAACATGCACTTCAACAGGTAGGACTCAACAGTTTTTGTTCTTTTTAACTGGTGGAAATACAGAAGTTGACTTTATTTGGGTCGTATACAATGCACATGAAGGAAAAAAAGATAAAATGGACCCCTTAAAAAGAGGAAATTATAGAAGGAGGTCAAGCACCCCCTCCCCCTTTAGTCCTTGGTGAGTTGGCAGAAAAGAAAACTCATTTCTAAATTATGTTCAGGTCTATACACTGTCAAAACACAGGCTGTAAGTATATATCTGTAACTTTTGACTAAAACTACGCTTCACTGTGGTTGTTCAGTGATCCATTCATTCAGGAGGCCCATGGAAATGCCTCAGACCAGTTCACACTGGATTGGAAGTTTGAGTCTCTTCCCACTTCTAGGTCTGCTCTTCAGTGCCACCTCAACATTATGTAATATTCTACCACTATATTTCCTAGTGATCATCTAATTTATTGGTAACACAAATGAAGACATTGTTTGGTAGTTTCTCAGGAAAAAAATGGATTGAAAATTCCACTTTGCTGTGGAATTGAAAAGACTTTCTTCTGTCTTTTTTCTATCTATGTTTCTTCCAGTTTGCTCTACAATACAAATGCATATACAACCCTATTTACAGAAAAGTTGGGATGCTGTACAAAATGTAAATAAAAGCAGAATGCAATGATGTGCAAATCATTTAAAGCCTATATTTAATTGAACGTAGTACAAAAATTGTATTGTTTTCTAAAAAATATCTGCTCATTTTGAATTTTTAATGCTGCAACACATTTAAAAAAGTTGTGACGGGGCATGTTTACCACTGTGTTGCATCACATCTTCTTTTAACTACACTCTGTAAGCGTTTGGGAACTAAGGAGACCAATTGCTGTAGCTTTCAAAGTGAAATTTTTTCCCATTCTAGCTTGATCTAGAATTTCAGCTGCTGAAATTTGTTTGTCGTATTTTTCATGTCATAATGCAACAAATGTTATGTGACAGGTCTGGACTGCAGACAGGCCAGTTTGGCACCCAGACTCTTTTACTGCAGAGCCATGCTGTTGTAATACATACAGAATGTGGTTTGGCTGAAATAAGCAAGGCCTTCCCTGAAAAAGACGTCATCTGGATGGCAGCACATGTTGCTCCAAAACCTGTACATATTGTTCAGCATTAATGGTGCACAGATGTGCAGGTTATCCATGCCATGTGCACTAATGCACCCCCATACCATCACGGATGCTGGCTTTTGAACTGTGTGCTGATAATAAGCCTGCAGCCAAGAGGATGCGAAGATTTTCAAAAGGAAATTAAAATTTTTATTTTTTGGACCACAGGATACTTTTCCACTTTGCCTCAGTCCATCTTAAATGAGCTCAGGCCCAGAGAAGGAGACAGCGTTTCTGGATCCTGTTTATATATGGTTTCTTCTTTGCATGGTAGATTTTTAAATTGCATTTGTGGATGCAGACACGAACTGTGATCACAGACAGTGGTTTTCGGAAGACTTCCAGAGCTCAAGCAGAGATTTCCACAACAATGTCAGGTCCGTAAGATCACAGCTATCCAGTATTGGTTTTTGGCCTTGTCCCTTGCATACAGAGATTTCTCCAGATTCTCTGAATCTTTTAATGATATTATGTGCTGTAGATGATGAAATCCCCAAGTTCTTTGCTCTTTTACACTGAAAAATGTTATTCTTGAATTGTTGCACTATTTGCCCACGAGGTGATCTTTTTTAGCATTACACAACTTTAGTCTTTTGTTGCCCCTGTCCCAACTTTTTTTAAATGTGTTACTGGCATCAAATTCAAAATGGGCATATATATTTCAAAAATCAGTAACATTTTTCAGTGTCAATGTTTATGTTGTTCTATTTGTACTATTTTCAATTAAATATAGGGTTTAAATGATTTGCCTATCATGTCATTCTGTATTTATTTACATTTTGCACAGCGTCCCATTGGGGTTTTACAATAGTATGTAGCTTATGTGAAGGGCTATCATTTCTATTCTATGCCTTCAAGTCACTTTTTTCAACTCTCTTAAAAAAAGGTGCCAAACGGATCGTTGGAGCAAAGCCAAAGAAGAAAACACTTTTGGTTCCCTAAAGAAACCTTCAAAGAATGGTTCTTTAAGGAAGCACTTTTCTAAATGAGATGTGTGAAGAACCTTGATGTTAATGTTCTATACCAATTGAAAGGTCCTCCTAGAATCATGTATCCCAAGCTAAGAACCATTTAGGAACCTTTATTTTTAAGAATGTAGGTGAGCCAACAATAAGATCTTATTACAAGTGAAAAAATGAATACAGTGTGATCCTTTTGCTTTTGCAGGTGAACTCTATGAAGTCTTCTCTGGATGGTTTGGAGGCCACAGTGGGCCGTGCTCAGGCTGAGCTGGAAGTCACTAACCGTGCTGTACGGAAGGGAGAGACTGAGACCAGACGGGTCGAGGAGGTCCTCCAGAAGCTCCAGAACGAAATTCTCCGTGACCTCTCAAACGGTATCCGGGAGGTGAAGGAGGCACGTGAGAATGATTTCTCTTCCCTGGAGCGCACCTTGGAGGATCGTTTGGCTGAGCTGAGCCGCTCCATTGCGGACAGTGTGGCGGAGTTTGCAGGGTCTCAGGGTGAAGCCCAAGCCCAGCTCAGTGAGCTCAAAGCCAGGCTTGAGGAACACAATGACCCTGGGCTCCTCAAACACGAGCTCACATCCATCACCACCACTGTAGCTGATCTTCACACCGCCAATGAGGTTGCTGAGGGCAACATGGGTGTTCTCAGGGAGCAGATTGCATCAGTGGAGGCAGAGCTACAGACCAGGAACAAGGAAGTGGCATCCTTGTCTGAGGAGATAGAAGCAGTGAGGTCCCTAGTCCAAAGCACTGCTGGATCGTTGAGACAGGAAGTGTCTACAGCGCAGGTCACCGTGCAGGCCATGGCTGACCGGCTCCAGAGCCTGCAGGATGGGCAGGACCAGGCCAGCGAGGGCCTCCAGAGTCTGGAGAAGGAGCTGAGAGAAGAACTAGCCAAGGCTGAGAAAAGGGGAGATGATCTGGAGGTCAGAGCGAAAGCTGCTGAAGAGAGCACAGAATCACTGGCATCTTCTGCAACAGAGCAGGCAAGCAGACTTGAGGCACTTCTCGCCAAGTATGACTCTTATGAGAGTTCACTAGCTGCCCAGAGCAAGGCGGCTGAGAAGGCCAGCCAGGGACTGAAGGCAGAGCTGGAGGTGTTGAAGAGCAGCCTGGTGGATCTCCAGAACAGCATAGGCTCTTTGGACAACACCAATACCAGGTTAGAAGCAGTTGAGCAGAGGCTGGATGCTCTCGGAGATGGAGTGGCTTCAGAAGAGCCAGTATTACAAACTGAGGAATCAGAAAGCCATAAGGAGGAGGAGTCAGAGAACGCTGTAGAGAATGAAGAGTCAGTAAATGAGGAGGTAGTTGAGGAAGAGATTGTAAATGAAGAGGCAGTTGATGAACTGGCAGCAACAGAGGAGACCACTGAAGAAGAGCCAGTTGAGGAGAATGCAGCAACAGAGGAGGAAGTTGAGGAGGTACCAGCTGAGGAAGAGGCAGGAAAAGAGGAGGCAGTTGAGGAGGAGGGGCAGTGAGTAAAGGATCTTGAGTGTCACTCAATGTAGAAAGAACAGGGATAAGATAAGCTGTAGGGAAAAGGAGAGTGGACTGTGAATCTGAAAAATACACTTTCTGCACTGTAGTTTCTTCCCCTTGAACTTTTTTTCATGTTGTTGATAAGAGTTGTCTTCCAAATCCAGCTGCAATATTTTGAATGTCATCATTGCTCTGTTTTTCCAATAAAATATTTAAAATATTAATAAATTGCTGTGAAGAATTCTTATGCCACTCAAAGCTATATATTTTATATGCTGTATAACAGGCGGGCCAATGTAGTCTCACTTATTCATATTTTAATTCATCTTAGAAACCACCAATTAGCTGGGTATTTCTATGCATATTTTGATATTTGAAATAAAAATTACTTGATGGAAAAGGCAAATTTCAAATACACTTTCCATAATTTATTTACAAACATAATTTATTTACAAAAATAAAAGTTTGTATGCTTGATTGAGGTGGATACATTTTTGCCAAAAAATTAAAATGTAATAGAAAAAAACAGATAAAAAGATGAAAAGTTTAGATGGAAACGCAAAAAATAACATAACAGTGAACAGTACAGTCATATAACTGATCAGGTGATTCTGTTACTCCTGGCTGTATCTATGAAACATGGCAGAAAGCAGGATGTACTGGTGGACACATGAAGAAATTCAAAACATGCCTTTAACTTACCAAAGAAAGAAACATAAGAATCATTTTAGATGATGAACTGATATAAGGTGCTTCCAGCAGAGCCATTTTATTTTTATGATGTCTGTGTTTTGTCTTTTACAATGTGAAATACACAAATAAAATTAAACAAAATACAAATAGAAGTTAAAGTGTTAAAGAGTCTCAGAAATGTTTTGATAAATGTCAGATAAAGAGCTGTTCTCTCTTGTACAGAATTGAAACTCAGCCAAATTCACAGAACATTTCAGTTACTCAATTGAATTAAATCTGACAGCTGGATGGAGACCTGGCTACTATGTCTGTTTTGACAGAGTGCCAGAAAACATTTTGTACTGTTTTGCAATTCTTATGAAGATATAAAAGGGAATTTCACTGAATTTTCAAAATTTCTGCATAATTCAGTGGGTGAGATGGAAACAAAGTTATTCAAAATGGTCTGATGTGAAATAATTAATTGTAGAGAAAGTCACTAATTTCTTTACAGTGGTGGCAATAAAAACCATGGGACACAATAATTACAAAACAAATATACATTTCGTTTACTAACATGTCTTCTGAGTTTTTATACGTAATCTTGATAACTAAATCTGAAAAAATATGTTTTTGTTAGTTACTATTTTGCCTTACAACACCCAGCATGTACTCCTCCACCACAAATTCATTTTAAAAAACACATTTTAGGCCAAAACTCTCTCAAAACTATCATAAAACAACATCTCAGGCATCATTTCATTTCATAACCTTCTGCAAGGAAGTTTGTAAAGACATTGTTTTTATCACCACCACTATGAACAACTGTGACTTTGTATGTTTCTCTAGAACAAATTACTTCACTTCAAACCACTAAGAATTACTGTGTTTAAGTTAAGCAGAAATGTTGAATTTCCCCTTTAAAGAACCAGAAGGACCAGCCATCGGGGAACACATTTTTTAAGCAGTTGCAAAACATGTGGTATTTGCAGGTCTTTCATTAGCAGTGATGACAGGCAGCTAGAATGCCAAGTCATTTGTCATTGGATAATACCTTCACACACATGGTGGTGGCTTGTGATGATTGGCTGCTGGGGCCCATTAGCCTGCAAAGCTCCAGACCCCTCCATTTCCTCTGCCTCAGACAGCTCAGCACACAGCTAAGAGCAAATGGAAGTCATAGTTTAGAAGATGTGTAAACAGTCTGACCTTTTATTGAAAATGCCCAGTGAAAACCCTGTCGCCATGTTCACATTCAGATACATACATGTCTGGTATCATCAAATCATTAAAGGGCCCATATCATGGAAAACCAAACTTCCCCTAATTGTTTAAGAATAGTGTGAAGTAATATGTAAACATTATCTAAGTTTCAAACCATACCATTTACTACTCATCCACATCCAGTAAATATATAGAAACCATGCTGCAAAATCAGCCTGTTGTGAATTCATTGTTTCTGTGACGTCACAAGTACCAACCCATTTACATAAATCTTTTCAGCTTAAAGCTGTTTAGCTCAGCCCATTCCTGCTGAAGTTATAAGGAGTGTTTCAGCCCTGAGCGCTTTCTGAATGAAGCACAATACAGTACAGCCAATCAGAACAGAGCTCATTTATCTTATACATCAGTTTTAAGTTCACAGTGACAAAAACAGCCTGTTTAATTCTAAGGGATAAAAGGAGGTTGGAAAAGGGTCATGTGGTCAAAATTTTGGTTACATAAACCCACACCAATATTATAAGTGGACCTCAAGGGAAAAAATAAAATACAAGAAAAAAAAGACATGGGGCCCTTTACATCAACATCTGTACAAACACACTAGAAGAGTAAAATGTTAAAAATAACCTGCCATTCAAAACGTCCTCATCCAACATTTGAACCCCTTAAACTGTTAAAAAAGTTATTAACGTAGGACTTTCTGGACCTGCTGTGAATTATTTGGTCCCTACTATAAAACAAACATGTTTTGTAGTTGTTATGCAGTTATGAGAGTGAGGAACCAAAGTCTGAATATCTCAATTAAATTAAAAAACTTTAAAACAAAGCCCCGTCTACAGTGTAGGTCAGTCTGTCTCATTCAGAGTTTTGCTGAGGTCATTTTGAGGCAGCGTGTCACTAGAAGCCGACTTTACTGCCAGCTCCTCCTCAGCTTGTTTAAGGTCCCCTCGGACAGTCATGAGGTTGGCTAAACTCTCCTTAATCTGTGCTATGTCTTCTTCCCTTTTCATCACGTCCTCGGCCAGGTGGCCAATCCTGAGGGTCAGGTCAGCCAGCTGAGGCTCCAGCATGGCAAAGTCTCGCTTGATGGTCAACACTTTGGGCCTGAGGTCACTCGCAAAGGTCACTGTCCTGACCAGCTTGGCTCGGCTGCTCTCCAGAGCAAGAATGCGGTCAAAAAGCTTCTTGTCAGTAGCGGAAAGCTCTGGAATGCGTTTGCGGATTTGTTCCAGGTTTTGACTGTTCTTCTCCGAGGAGCTTTTTAGACTGGAAATGCGGTCGATGCTAGCAGCCAGAACTTCGCCGACACGTTTGACCATATGCTTCTCAACCTGAGCCACTTTCTCCTCTAGCTGGCCTGTCTGGGTGAGCAGAGTGTCCACCTCGCCCTCCAGGCCCCCCATACGCCTCACGTCTGTTCGCACTGAGGCCACTTTCGATGTCATGTCACTGGAAATGGCGGCGGTGCGGTTCCCGATTTGCTCCACGGCCTGCAGAAGAATAGCCAGCTTCTCCTGCATCTGCTGCCGTCGTTCTGTCAGGCCAGAGGACCACTCCCTCAGCTGCGACACCTCCTGCTCCAGCCTGCTCAAGTGAGACAGAGGTGACTTCACCTCCTGGCTCTCCAGCAACACCTGGACATCATCGCACTACAGTGGGAGAAAAGACACAGATAGTGAGCAACTATTTCACTCATGTATCTTCCTGTTGATTCCAGAAACCATCTGCATGCTCTTCTCTTACATTAAGGCTCACATTATATGCATCATTGAGGGTTAGACACTGAAGCCCAGAGCACAATGACCAAACATTCTCCAATAAACATCAAACCCAGCACTGGGTTGGAGGACCATATCTGTGTGTGATTGTTGGGAGTCTATAGAATATTACCCCCCTTCACACTGTTCTAGACTGTTCTCCTCTGTTCACACTGGTTCATTAGGTCAATCAGATCTTAATCTGGAATATAATAATGCAACATTAGAATTTGTTTGTTTGGGTCTCTATGCTATGATCATAAAAGAATGGTTTGTGAAAAATCTCATTTACACAATTTTCCACTTACCAATTTTCTCAGCTATTATGAGGCTACGTTGCTCACAAACACTACAAGTCAATCGTCACTGAGATCTTTTCTTTAAATACATCCCCAAAACTTCTCTTAACCTGCTCAAACCACATCCAGATCTTTATTGAGATTGTGCAGACTTGTTCTTATGGTTTACAGCACAATACAGCTTAGTGTGAATGTAAAAATGAACAGAACTTCAACATGCACACAAATGTAGCAGGCAGCCATTTTACAAAATAACAGAAAAGATTTGGGTGACTACTGACTTCTTGTTAACAACACTGTCCTTGTTGCTCCTGTGCTAAGCTAAAGAAGCAAAATTTGCACACCAAACATAGACTACATCTAGAGTAAGTTCAATTTTTCATCAAACCATTACTTTATCATAAGATAAATCTGGTGTACTAGCACATGGGCGATCTTAAGCTACGTAACTCAACAGAGATTCTGCAAACGTCCCCCCTCTACCAGAAAAGTGCTTGGTAACTTAACCTTTTCAAGCGTCTTTGTTTTCCACTGTAGTTACTGGTGAACAGCTGTGCATTGCTGAATAAGCACACCTGCCATCCAATTCTAGATTTAGAATCTGGAACTCTGTACTTAAAAATAGTATCTGGCTGTTGGTCACCTCTGTCACTTGCATTACATGTGTGACATTATACAGTAATATCATAATAGAGCAATCAACACTATGACTTCAATCAGGTAAACGGATCTTTTTATTAAAAGAGGAATTATCTTGCACACGCGGGGATCCATCCACTGCACATCATACAGAACATATTAACAGATGTCCATGATTTGCACAAATAATCAAAGGATATGCATACTAGGATCACAATGAAAATCTGATCAAAACAAATGCTGAGGCTTAGTAGATACATCGAAGATACCCTGGTGTTACTTTTACATACTGCTTTCACACTATAGTTTAGTTTGACCATGAGAGATCTTACAATAAAGTATATTACATTCTGAGAAACATATTCAACCCTACAATGTCTTTTTTATAGATTCAAGACATCTATTTTTGTATTATTATGCAAACATCAAATCTGCACAAATAATATTATAAAATGAGAGATGTCTCAAAGCCATACTGGCATATACAAATGTGATACTTCTTAGCCCACATTATAGACTTACCTGCTTATAAGATGATTTAAATAGGTGTGTATACAACACTTAACATTAAGACCACATGCAAACTGAAAGCTGTGGCCTATTTTACACCTAAGGACCATTACATGGCAGTGATAGTGCACTCGTATTACATTGATAATATACAGCATATCGATAAGTTTCTGAGGTGATATAAATACGAAATACACTACACTCTGAAAAATGATGGTACTTCAAGGGTTCTTTAGTAAAGAAAACGGTTCTATATAGAACCATGAACACTCAAAGAACCCTCTGCATGATTAAAGGGATCTTTGCATTGTTAAAAGGCTCTTTGATTGATGGAGAATGTGCTGTAGATGGTTTTATATTGAACCTTATTGAAAAGGGTTCTATTTAGCACCAAAAATGCTTCTTCTATTGTTACAATGTCAAGCCTGTAACATTGACCACTTGCATGTTTCATTATAATTTATTATAAAAAATTCATTATAAAAAAAAATTATATATTTTGTCAGGGCACTTCAGTGGCATAGGAGCCAGAAGCTTTGCCCTGCTGTTAGATAAATGCAAGTTTGGATTTCGATGTCGTCAGGTACCTTACAGCACATAATTTGCCCTGTTCAACTGGATATAGTAATGTAGTCATCAAATGTCAGAAAACAAAATATTGATACATCTCGTATAGTGAGTAGTGAAAATGTGTTCAAGTACTGTGATTTTTTTTGCCACATTACCCATCCCTATTACAGACATACAATACAGAAATACTAATACTGGTAGCATGGTAACTGCTTTAAAGGGGAATTCCAATTTCTGCATAATTAAATGATGTAAACATAGTATGTTATCAAAGCCATTCAGAGTAGTTTGATTACCAAGTCAGAACTGTTCACAGTGATGGTGATAGGAACCATGTGGCTAAAGGGTTTAATGTCTCTAAAAGCTCCCTCACAGAAAGGTAATACATTAAATGATCATGAACACACTGTCTGATGTCTGAGATATTGTTTTACAACTAAAATGTATTCTTTAAACCTGTTCAATGCAAAGAGGTACATGCAGGGCATTGCAAGATGAAACAGTCCCAAAAGATTTTTTAGATTCTTCTTTTTTAAGATTCTTTTCATTCTACCATGATCAACTTTACATAAAACCTCAGACGACACATGCAGGTTTACTGGTGATTTTGAACAGTAAACAAAACGGCTCTGCTTGTGTTGGAGACATTGTAACCCCTGGTTCCTATTACTGCCACTGTGAAGAAATCAGAGGTTTCTCTACAATTAGAAAGAAATCAGAGGTTTCTCTACAATTAACAATTTCACATCAAACCACTCTGAATCACTTACATCTCAAACACTCTATCATATAAATTTAGAAATTGGTAGAATTCTCCTTTAAGCATAATTCATACAAATCAGAGCAGTTCATCAAATTCTGCCAAGGGATCCTCCTCAGTGCCTGTATTCTGGCCATCACTGTGATCTAGTGCTGGCTCCAGCAAAATATTCTTCTCCAAGTCCTTTAAAGCATTACTTAGTTGCTTAACATTTTCAAAATGTAGATCTTTTAGATCCTTCCCTTCATCTGGCTGTAGTTCCTCTCTTCCAGAATCCAGATCTTGTTCTCTTTGCAGGTGCTCAAGTTCTTTCATGGCTTCCAGCATGACTCCAAGCTCATTGCTCACTTTCATCACACTGTTATCCACCTGCAGGTCATCAAGGGCCTGCCTGAGCTCCAGGATTTCAGCCAGGGCTTTGAGCATGCTGTCCTCTGTGCCCAGCACCTGCAAGGTCAGCTCCTCTAGCCTCCTCTCTGTACCGCTCAGGTCCGCTCCTAACCTCAGGATGGACCTCACAGCATCCTCTACAGTGGGCAGCTGGGCCTCACACTCTTTAGCTCTGGGCTCCGTTTCCTCCAGCTTCTCCTGGAGCTCCACGTCATTTCTGGACAGCTGTTTCAGCTGCTCCTGAAGCCTAGTTACCTGTCGGGTGTTCCAGTCCAGCTGGCTCTGGACCTGCCGAGCGTCCTCTTCCTCTGTGCGCTCCAGGAGGCGGGCATTTCTCCTTGTGCCGTCCTCCAGCTCCTCCAGACGTTCCGTCAGCACACGCAGGCGTCCCTCCGCATCATTCACTCGCTCTGTCACACGGCCATGGACTGAGCGGGACTCGGACCTCAGACTGGCCAGCTCATCGGTTACCGTCCCCAGCCTGCTCTGCCACGCCTCTGTCACGTTCTGGAAGCGCCCGTTCACCCCCTGGAGGTGACGTGTAGATGCATCCTGGTCTTCCTGCATCGCCGTAACAACAGCATTGAGAGATGTGATGTCGTGTTCCAGCCTGGTTACCAGGGTGATGGAAGAAAGCGCCCCCTTCAGACGGTCCTCAGAGGCCTCCAGCTGCACCCATAACAGAAGAGAGGGTGTTTTCGCTGTGGCTCTGCTGTGTCTGTCACATTCACATTCATACAGCACTGTACATGCCAAAACACAACATCTGAAACAAACCGCTGTGTCTACCAAATCTAGACCTGGATCATAGGGGAATTACACCAATTTTTCAAAATCTCTGCATGATTCAGTCGTTGCGATGTAAACAAAGTCATTCAGAATGGTTTGATATGAAATTGTTCTATGGTGAATAACATACCGACTCAGATTTCTTTACAGTGTTGGTGACAGAAAAAAGTGGTCACAATGTCTATGATGCAAAGCCATTTTATTTGCTATCCAAAATGACCACTGAACCTACACGTGTCTTCTGGGTTTTATTATGCAATTCTAATAACAGCAAAGTCATAATAAATCATGAAAAAAAAATAAAAACACATTTTAGGCTAAAATTTAATTGCTAAACTAATGTAAGGCACGGCATTAAGCACCATTTTCACAACCATTCAATAACTTTCTGTAAGTTGGCTTTTGGAGGCATTAAACACTTTAGATGTCTGGTTCCTATCACCACCACTGTGAACAATTCTGACTTGGTAAGTTTTTCAAACCACTCTGGATGTATAAGGACTGGGCAACAGAACAACATTTATAGTTATTGATATTATGTCACAACATGCTTCTCTGAGCATATCAGGAACATCATCAGTACTTCTAGCTCACTGACCAACTGCATGTTTCATTACAAAGAGCCTAACTGGTCCTGCTTAGTTGGATTTAGCGCTGTGCACTATGTGAAACATGGAAGAATAATCATGCATTCTTAGTTTTTGTTAATATTTCTTGAATGTGGCACCCACTGGTTCTTTCTGCCCATTCCAGCTTATCAGATATCAGAAAAAATAAATTTTGTAATGCTGAGCATCAAGAACACTTCAGGTATCATGATGTATATTTGCCATATCGCCCACCACTGTGATCCATCAATCATGAATTTTATGGCTGATTCTGTTTTATTTACAGCCAATGGCCATTTTTTGACTAATTTTATTAGCCATTTTTTAAGCCAAAGCTCATACTGTGTGGGCTAAATTAATACAAGAAACATACTAGCACATTTCCAGTACTTTTTATTAGTTAAAATTGAAACCAAAATATGGGCCAAACTGGCATTTTAAAGTCTTAAATGAAAAATCAGCAACCTATTCAATTAAAATGAGTCAAATAAAGTGCTACAGCAAAAGTAATAAGTAATAATTAAGCACAAAGAATCATGAACAATTACACTACAACATTCTGGTGCAGGTGTTGCAGCAGCATTGAAATAAAGCGTGATTACACACTCTTTCCTGAAATCATGAAATATCAACACAAAAGGGAAAAAAATCAAAATAATAAATTGTTCTACTGCGGATCACTTTGTTGAATGAATGACTTTGTTGGCATGATTTAATCAGACAGAAACATAAAGAACATAAGTGGAATTCCCCTTTAACTCTAGTCTTCGACTAAATTAAAATGTCAGTGGTGCACAGCCACTGAAAATACTTTCTAGGGCAGGTTTAGACGTAATGGGTCACAGAAACCAGACCCATGCAATCTAATATGAATTGACTTTTCAGAAGAACAATATTTTCATGCTTCAGGAAACATGCAACCTCAAATGAATTCAGACATACACAAAGGGTCCAGCTGATCAAGGTTTTCAGGACAGTGAGGTAGTTTAGAGCTGGAGGCAAACTCACCCTACACCTGTTCAATCACTGAATGTAGACAGTCTGCCAGTTCCCTATGATATGTACCAATGTGCTTTTAGACCAGGACAAGCAATGATAGTTCACCTTTAACAGTGTTCCTGTGAGACACCCTCTTGGACAATTTAGATCGGGCCCTAATTTAATACACTTTGCTCTAGTATTTATAATAAGATTCTTAAAATGGAACCGGACAGGATCTAAAGACTGCCATACAACAGCTCTCCAAGAGTAGAAATGGTGGGTGAAATATTACAGCCATGTTCAGGTATGTATTTAATGCATTATATCAGTGTTTCCCAATCCAGTCCTCACTGACTCTTAGACAGTCCACAGGTTTGCTCTTTTCCAGCTGTGAGCACAGCTCTGAGAGGTATTCAGTGTTATTAAATGCTTGGTTAAAGTATGTTGGGAGCAGGAACAGAGCAAAAACGGACTGCCAGAGGGTCCATGAGAAAAGAGCCTGGGGTGGGAAATGCTGCATTAAACACCGCATGCTTGCTCACATCACTGTGTCAGATCACATTAATGCTACTTCTGCAAGTTTTCTAGTGAGCATTGCTGTGGTGTTACGCACATCCTCAAAAAATGGGATACCAACCTTTTTGGAAACGGCACCCATTTTTTCTTCTAGCACCAGGAGATTGGCTGCCTTTTCATATAACTGCCTGTATTTCTCCTCCACTTCGTTAAATCTTGCATTTTGATGAAGAACAACCCTGGAACAATAACAAAAAAACAAACAACAGGAACTTCAGATCAAGTAGAGGTGGGTAGTAAATAGTTTTTTTTTATTTTAATGGATTTGTGTCTTTTTTTCAATTGACAACACTTTTACTTCTACTCAGGTAGCTACATCTGTGAGGAAAGCAGTCTTCTTTCTTTATGTTGGTAATAACATCTGTACTGCTCTGCCAGTGGTCACACCTCTGAGTTCTGAGGTTTATCATTTTATTTTAGATCAAAAGTGCACATAAAAGTGGAAAATGAAGTGTAACAGTTTTTATGCTGATAAGATGCTGGATGGACTAACAATTTCTACCTCAGGTCTGTAACAGATTCAGTACTCAAGCAGTTTTTTGAGCTGCTACTTTTGCACCTTTATTCACTACTTTCTAATAACAGTGCTTTCATCTGAGTATAGATTTAGCCTCATCTACAATCTTAACAAAAATATGGTTCTTTAATAAAGACTCAAACATGCTTAAATGGTTCTTTGTATGGTGAAATGGTTATTCAGATCAATGGACAATGTTTTGTATAGGGTTCTAAATAGAACCTTTTCGAAAATGGCTCTATATAGCACCATAAAGGGTTCTGCTATTGTTACAATGTCTACACTCCTAAAGATAGTTCTTCTAGTGTTCTTTAGTAAAAAAAAAAGTTCTAATTAATTACTTATTGAAAAGGATTTAATGTAGTACCAAAAAGGTTCTTCTGTTGTTATAATGTCAAGCTTGTCACAATAAAAGAACCCTTTTTTGGTGCTATATAGAACCCTTTTCAAAAAGGTTAAACTGAGAACTATCTACAGCACATTCTCCATTAATCTGAAGAACTGTTTCACTATGCAAAAATAAAGCAAAGGGTCCTTTGAGTGTTCATGGGTCTATTTAGAACCATTTTCTTTACTAAAGAACCCTTGAAGAACCATCTTTTTCCGTGTGTACCTTGTAATAATAACAGACCCCCTTTTGGTGCTATATAGAACCATTTTCAAAAAGGATCTATATAGAGCCAGTCTTTACTAAAGAACCCTTGAAGAACCTCATTTGTAACAGTGATCTCTGAGTAGGTTCCCTGCTCTGTTTGTGTCGGCTCAGTGTTCAGACTCACCCCGCGAGCAGACAGCAGGCGCTCAGAGACAGAAAGCTGACCGTCGTCCTCAGGTCCAGTGATGAACACAGTCCAGACTTTCCAGCAGTCAGACTGTTTTGTTCAGACAGACCTGCTCCATCTTTCTTTCCTTCCTCTCTGCTGCTCGGCTTTGATGTGCCATTCGTTTCTCCGTCGTGTGAGACGCTCGTTTTCCCCTTTCTGTGCTTCACTTCGCTGCTCGGCATTTTGCTAACCAACTAGCCGACTGGAGTTATGAACCTCCAGTCGTGTGAAAATCTTGGCTGTGAGTAACGTTAGTAGTTATGTTAGCTAATCCTTTACCTCCATAAAAAGCTGTTTTTCCTTCAGAAAAGCGCACTTCGGGACTCGCAATTGAAAATACGAGTTAACCGAGGTTTGGCTCTCACTGCAGTTTTCCTAGACAACCCAAGAAGTCCTACTGCTGTTTTCTAACCGCTACCTCAGGAACTTCACATTTCTGGGAGAAACGCCACGTAGCTCGCGGCGCCCTCTCACAACAGAGCTCCACTCCGGGAGCATAGCCGACCACTTAAAGAGCCCCTATCACAGAAAAACTGAATTGCCTCCACCTTTTTTAAAGTAAGAGTTTGATGTATTATTAGTATGTAAACACTTCCCAAGTTTCAAAACTAACTGTACTCCCCAATTTACAGTACAAAAACTAAGTTTCAAAAATACTGTTGTGAATTACTTTTGTGATGACACAAAATCTAATGTAGAGGTAATTTACATATACCAGTCTTAAAGGCATGATGTGTTTTTCTATGGGATAAAATCATGTAAAAATTCATTGTGACTATTGCTGGTACATGAAAAGTACAAGAAAAATGTATAATACGAGATCTGGACTCTTTAAAGCTTCCACAGCTTTAAAAGCACATTGGTGTTTTCTGTCAGGAACGGTGTACGACAACCTGGAACAGGCACAGAATGAGACAGCAAAATTGCTTTGAGAAACCGCTTAACACAGAAATGCAATACTCTGCAACAGTTTCCATCATACAATCACGCCTGATAAAGAACCATCTTTTACTGCTTCACAGTAGTCTGAATGTCGTAGGTAGTCATAGGAGTCGTATACTTTCCTCTTCTGAGGTGGAGGAATATAGGTAACGGGAAATTGAAGCAAGTACAAGCAAAATACTAGCCATCAAATACGTTAAATAACAGGTTCACAGATAATTCACAAAATAACCATGTTGAATCTTCTTATGCTGGAAACTGTACAAGACGTTTTGAACCAGAAACTGGATGCAGCTATCTGCTCCACAGAGGTGCTCCAAAAAGCCAATTTTTATAGTACTGCTAGTGGAATTTCTACAGGATTCATATAAGAATCATATTAAATTTAGACAAATACTGATGTTTACTGCAGGACATTATACAATTACTGTAGATCACTATAGGATTGTCAGGGAAACAGTATAGTTTATTAAGTATACAAGCATTAAACAGCACTATAGAAATGGCAGTTATAGTTTTTTATAGTAATATTACGGTTCTTTTTGTATGCCTTAGTATCATACATTAAAAAGTCTGAAAACACTAAAAAACTATGTTTTTAATGAGGCAAAATGCTGAAATGTGAACACTGAATGTCCCAATCTGAGAAAGGCAATACTTGCACTGTAAAACTTTTCTTCAGTTTGAAAAGTTAAAGCTAAAACTTTAGGCGCTTCCCAACTCACAAAGGATTCACAGCCAATTCCACAGTGATGTCCTTGGTCCCTCCCCCTCCTTGCATTCCACACGACACAACAAATACAGACTTTTCACAAAAAAGTGTTTATTTATTTCTTAGCACAAAATTTTAAATGTCCCCTATTCATTGTTATGAGTTTTATAATAATCACCACTTGTTTCACTCTAAATATTTTATTTTGTAGTGCAAGTGTTTTTCAAACTTAACATGGGTTTTGCATCTGACCTAGAGGGCTACTACATATAACATGAAGTATTCAGCTTGAAACTGACAAAATTATGATTTCTATATATTTTCAGTCTTTCTTCTTAGAAGAAATTACTGGTTTGGTTCCCACATAGCTTTGATTGTATTCAAGCTCTTTCAATATACTCAGCATGAAGTGTACACAATGTGCTCCAGCTAGGAAATATAATTAGCATCTATCCATTCTTAATAATAATTCTGTAGTGCATAAAATACAGTTAAGCAAAAGCTGCCCTTGCAAATCAATGGCTAATATGAATATAAACAAAGACAGAAAAGCAAAAAAGGTATCAATGGAATGTTTCTCTGGCTAATAAGGCATAGTTTACATGAACGTTTGGTTTTGTATGAGCTTAGTCCAAACCTAAAGCTTTATTCAAAGTCCAACAACAATCAGTAAATGTTAGCCCGAAGGTCCTTGCTAACGCCTCTCTTCAGCTTTGGTGTAATAAATTTCTGTAAACACCACCACCTAGTGCTCCCTAAAAGAAGGTGCAATTCTCAATTCTCCACCGTATTTAGCAATACATTTCTTCACTGGAGGACTTTTAAAAGTGACTTGTTTTTCTTATATATCCGAAATATATCCCCATATATTCAACAAAGGTGAAACGCATCGTCATACGTCAATGGCACATTTACACAAACATTAACATCTTTATACAGTCGTAAAATATCTCAAAGTAATGCGTAGCGCAATTTGAAAACATCCCTACTGTTACAGTTATATGTGCTTCAACAATCAATGCAGCATTTCTCCAAATCTAGAGTGATCATCAGGAAATCTCTCTGTGGAATTTGGTCTTTCAGTGATCTAGAGACCGCTGTGTTTTAAGAGCACTTGAGAAATGAAAGCTATTCAATCCCATGAAGATCCCTTTTCTCAGATTACTCTAAAAAAATAGGATGAAATCCAAAGTAATCCATGTATAACAGGTTGAGAAAGACAAACAATCCATACAATATTTACAAAAAGCAAAAAAGATATATATTTGGCCTCAGAGCCAAATAACCCAAAGTGCCCCCAATACCAATATGATTTCTTTTGAAAAATTATAAGGAGAAAAAAAAAAGCATTTCAAGTTTAAATAACATATCAAAGCCTGTCCTTCAGTTAGCTTTCCAAAAGAGCCAGGATCTAGCCATTACATGGCCACTTACATAACTATTCCATAAAGCTACATATACGCATCATATTTGATTGTAAATGCAGTTGTGACCTACATGTACAGTATCTCTTCATTATAATGAGACGCTGCTCCTCCTGTATGCTCTAAATGCTCATGTGTTGTAGCGATCCTGCAAAAGAAGACACAAATACAAATGCTACAAATTAGTCAATGGATTAGGATGCAAGACCTTAAGGACAAACGTGTGCAAAATTTCTTAAGACCGTAACTAAACCTAACTAACTATTTATAGTAGTGCTGTTTTTATTTCAGTCGTGAAACTGAAAAAAAGTTTTGGATTAAACTCAATTCATTAAATTCACAGCTCAAAACTTCAGCAGATAGAAATGCTGGGTCTAGGGTAAGAAACTTTATCTGGGATACTGTATTTGCTAAAAATCATTTTAATATGATATCTAACAATAAAAATTATTTAGCAAAATAGTTAGCTTTCCTTAACTCAGCTGCTGACAGTTATCTTGATAAATCAGTCAAATTAAACCAAACTGTGCATCAGATTAAAACATTCTATGTAAAGAAAAATAATAATGTTTTACTGCATTTCTGTTGTTTCATCAAAGTTTGCTAAAAGATTACAGTTTTCTCATCATCTAATGTTGCTCTGATCAGCTCCAGTATTAGCTTTAGTGTTAAGCTTTAGTGTTCGGTCATCTGAAGGGGCAGCTTTCTTAGCTCAAACCTGACCCTTAGTAGACATGAAAAACTGCTGCTTTAACGTCTAGTCACTAAAAGACTCCCTGGTTTCATTAACGTAAACCTGGTTGATTAATATAAACATGCTTTTCAGAATCCTGCATTTTAAACTTACCAACATGGTTTCAATTGTTAACATTGCTGTTTATTAGTACAGAAATTACTTACGAAAAAGTATTTTTACATTAACTTCCATTATAAGTTGAGAATGTTTTTTCCTCTCCTGAAACATTTCAGAGATAAGAGGTTTCATCCAACAGCGACAGTAAGTGAAATGTCAGAAGAGTATGAACTGACCTGTATAGATGAAACCACACCACTGGCCATGACGGACAGCTTGCCAGCCACAGAGCGCACACCCAACTTGAGCTGAGTCATGTCTGGAGCACTGGGCAGCACATTGGTCAGACTGTATGAACTGCCTGAAAGGCGGAAGAGAAAGACACACCAAGTCTGAATACTCTATGGAAGGATATTAAAGTGAAGCTTTGGCCAAAAATCAAATGTACAAATTTTCCATCTTACACCAAATGAAGTTCATAAGCCAAGACATGTTTGGTGTCTGAAGTTGCACTGGAGCTAGAAGGCTAACATAACTAACAAGTAGCCTAATGGAAGCTTCTAGTCACCAAGTTAGCATCTTAACTGCATGCCTTCATTAACACACACTTGCTTCAAGCTGCTTCACACTGTTAAGTAATCTCAAATAAACTTGCTGTATGATATATCGATATCTATGAAAATGAACAAAAGTACTTGGAGTTCCAGCACGAAAAAATAAAAGGAGCAATTTTCAGACACCAGGCATGGCTGATCACATGCAGTTGGGGTATGGGCAAAATTTAATTTTTCACTAAATCATAACTTTAAAAGTATTTTTTAAAGATTCATCCTTAAAGTTGAAAAAATGCCTTTAAAGGGCAATTTCTCTATTAAAAAAGCCTCATAATTCAGTGAAAAAAAAGATGTAAAATACTGTACTTATCTGTTTACATTATTTTTTGTCAAGTTCTCTGCTGGAGATTTGATCTCCACTTTTGAAATAAGATGAATTCTGGATGTTAATTCCCTTATAACATTCATTATTCATGCTATACGACTTTCTCAGTCATTTTGGAATCATCTACAGATCCGTTCGTCATTCTGGAAGTTTCTTCATTGTTATTTATAGCTTCCTAGTATCTCTATATCTATTATTTAAAATTTGTGAAGCTTTTTGGATTTTTTAAAAATACCCCATCATTAAATTGTCTGAATGTAAAACAAAGTCATTCAAAGAGTTTCGACGTCTAATGTTGCACTGAAGAGAAGCTTATTGATTTTACTGTGGTGGTGATAAGAAGCAGGTATCGTGATGTCTGCAACATGTCTGCCATTTTATTTGCTGTCCAAAATGTTTTCTAAGTTGTATATGAAATGTTGATAATGGTAAAATGGCATAAATTTCCTTGGGTACTATTTTTCCTTACGACACCCTGCATGTACCTCTCCACCATCAATGAGTTTTAGAATACATATTAAGCAGAAATGTTTCTCAAGAGATATTGTTTTACAATCCTTAAACATCAGACAATATATTCATAATTATTTCCTGTAATAACTTTCTGTGATGTAGCTTTTAAAGGCATTAAACGCTTTGGACATTCCTATCACTACCACTGTGAACAATTCTGACTCAGTAAGTTTCTCTAGAATAAAGAACTTCACATCAAATGACTCTGAATGACTTTGTTTACAGCTTAACGATTTTATTATGCAGTTACAGAGAAAAATAGGTGCAATTCCCCTTTAACTCAAACCACAGCACTGTTTTGAGTGTAAGTCTAGAATTGTTCAGTCTCATTAGGAAGCAGAGACTTCGAAAACCAATAGTGTTTCCCTAGTGATTTATTTCCTTACTTTCAGAATTCACACCTATATTTCAGAGTTTGCTTTTTCTCCTGTCTCTGCCATAGTGAAAGATATATTTCTGAAATGAAGGGTGAAAATTTGGGCTGAGGAGTCTCTGCTGAAAGTGTCCAGCTACAGCTATTATAACAGCCCATGTCTTAGTCACTTACTTGTCTGCTTCTTCTGCTCATCGAACAGATCTGCTGAGCTGATGGCTGAATTGCCAGAGAGGCGTTCCAGTCGGGTTCTCGCTTCATACTGCCCAAAAACAGGAGGAGGATCATTTCCATTACCCTACATGAGCTATTACAGCACAGTTGAAATTACTCATTCTTTATGACTTCATTTTAGAGACAGAACACAGTTTTAAGATTCCACTAAAAACATCTTTTAGAACAGTAAACAGAAAAACATATGTTGAAACATGACAAGTCCAAAACAGAGTTCAAGTGTTTTATACTGCTTACTGTAAAAGAAAAAGACAGTTTTCATAATTTAAAAAATATGTCTGCAGTTTTTGCACACAGTCAGGCTATTGCAGAGCAGGTTACCTCAGAGTTGTCCGGTTTACCGAAGAACATATCAGAGGAGATGGCTTTTGCACCACCAAACTTCTTCTGAGCATCATCAGAGACCGGTACAGGCCCTGAATCTGCTTTTCTCCTCGCTGTGGTCCTGTGATTGGAAAAGAAAGGGCCCACCACTGTTTTAGACTCGAAAGAAAACATTGTCTGTTTTATTCCTTATATTAATAATAGCAACTAAATATTAAAAGGTTAATATCCTAGACTTTTCTTGTATTTTATATTTTCCATTGAGGTTAATAACATTTGTGTATTTACAACATTTGTGTGGTTTTATCTACCAAAAAGGGTCATTATTAATTTTTACATGACCATTTCCAACCGCTCCTTATCTCTTAGAATTAAACAGGCTATTTTTGTTTCTGTGTCTTAAAGACTGATATAAAATAAATGAGCTCTGTTCTTATTGCCTGCCCTCTGTTGTGCCTCATTCAAAAACACTCAGATGAAACACTGCTTAGAACATTAATATGAATGGGTGGGGCTGCTGTATACTGAATAGGTGGATTTAATGTGAATGAGTTGGTTTTAGTGACATCACTGAAACCTATTAAAAATTGGGCTGTTTTTGCAGCATAGATTCCATATATGGACTATATAGATAGTGAATGGTGTGGTAGGAAACGTTAGCAATGTTGACATATTACTCCAAACTTCTTTATTTCAAAAAAGCGAGGGAAACTCTGTTTTCCATGACATGGTCCCTTTAAGCTGTTTATTTTAATGAGAAAGTATATTTATTGAGATAATAATGCAATTCCAAATTACAGAATTACAAGATACTGAATAAAATAGTCTTATGCAACCCTAAACAAATGTGTTTTTAACTGGATTTAAAAACACATTGATTAACTAACTGAGGAAGGATCTGACCTCTCTTCGTATGAAGACATTTTGGAAGTCAAGTAAAAGTCAGGCTCTGGTTTCTTCGGTTCTTTCTTCTTGACGTCTCCCCACTGTGAGAAGAAGTGGTCTGACGACTGGGACGTGTCATCTGTAAACCTGGAGGAGCTCCTACAGGCCAGGTGACGAGTTCAATATTATTAAAAAGGTGAACACAAATGAGAAATGTATCCTCAGTCTGTATTAAAAGCCTGTACTTTAAGCCAAGAATTTTTAATCTGATATTTTTCTCCTAATTTGGCAAGTTCCATAGCCTTGCAGCACTGTGATCCAACCACAAATATCAATGTAAAATCCTACAAATAGCTGGAGACAACTAAAAATAGCATTGCTGTTTTGAAAAGCTCACCTCATTTCAGTTCTTTCAATCTGATTTGCATGCTGAACAGTCAACTGGAGGACTGAAAATTAAGCCGGCTCTGTCTAATAATGCTGTGCTTTGTTCACAAATGTACAAGCAGTCCATTAAAATGACCACGTTCCATGTGTGAGCTATGAGTAAAGCAAATCTCACCTAATGGAGACAAATCCATCATCGTCCTCCTCATCCTCACTGTACTTCCTGGAGCGAGAGGAGGACTGAGCTATGGTGGGTGTCTCCTGTTGAATGGTCTGCATGTCTGCCAGGACAGAGTGAGAAACTCCGCTGAAAGAAAGAGAACAGGCAGATATACATTTAACCAGAAAAACGTGGTTGATTAGCTTCCATGTAACACTCTACCACTGTGTACACAAGGCAGTTTGTTTATTCTAAACACATTCGGTTCTCCACTCGGACTATGAGGGAACACTTCCTGTTTTATCCACCTGGATCAGCATTAAAAGAAAATGTAACATTCATTTGTAGAGTAACACATAAACTTTAGCTCAATAAACCAATCTTACCTTAAACATGCTGCTCTTTCAGAGTACAATAAATACTTCATCAAATATTGATTTGAAATATCAGGCCAATCTAAACATCTGTCTGATGCCGATAATTATCATTTTAAACAAATTCTTGCCAATACCGATATGATTCCGATATCATCATGCATCCCTAGCACTTATTCATGTGCATCAAGCACACATTTGTAAACTCAGTGGTATGTCTAAATTTAGCATTTTTTTTTGTAGCTTCTCCTAATAACACATATTTTCACACCATGTTTTGCACAGATCTTTTTGTTGCTTGGTCGATGAATTACGTTTCTATTCATCTAGCTTTATAGTGCTCTTTTGCATGTCCTTAGTTGTGATTAGCTTGTGTACCATCATGGCATGCAAAATCAATACAAAATGTGTGCTACTGAAAGCAGTGCATGAATGAAAATGGTAAAAGTAAATGCACCCACCTCCTGCTGGCCAGGCCCATGCCCAGCCTCTCAGCCTGCTCCTTCTTCTTGCCCTCCAGCCCCCGTAGCTTCTCCTCATCTCTCTTCCTCTGCAGCTCCAGATCCTGATAGGCCAGCCGCAGAGAGCTCACACTGACAACAGGGACAAAAATACATCACATACTCAAAATCAATGCATTAACTAAAACATAACATAATTAACCGTCTTTTCTCTGCTGTTGTCCAGCCAAATCTTGATATTTTGTTGTGCTCTCTCCCTCACTCTCTGCATTAACTGACATGTTTTCTCATGTGTTCTTATTTCTCTTTCTTTCTGCATGGCAGTCTTTTGTTGCTTTCTTCCTAATGCCTATTGTTAGTGATGCACCAAATTAATAAACTGGATCAAAAATGCAACACATCAAATTCTCACTTTGTGTTTTTACTGATGGAGATGAACACTCTACATACAGCTAATAATTAAAAATGATTGCATTGCAGGCAAACTTGTTTGTTTAAAGAGGTGAAATAAGTGTTTCTTTGCAAATGTGAAATGTGCAAAATATGTCAAAAAAAAATATGTCAAAATAAAAGACCCCTAAGTGGAACAGAATAAACGTCATGTGCAGGAGGGCTTTTCTAATTCTTCGACAGCAAGTAACCACTTCAGACTTTAATCAATTTAATGCAGGCTAAAAAGCATAAATTTAAATTTCACAGATTTCGGGTAATAAGGTGATCGTTCAGATGTTTAGAGCACATGTGTCAGGATCCAGTCCTTGTGGGCCAAAACACTGCAGACTTCAGCAAACTGCCTCATTAAACACACCTGATTCAGCTCATCAGTTAATTAACAAGGCTTTTATGAACTGAATTCAGAGCGGTAGATGACGGTAAACGCTGATCTCTGCAGCACTTTGGCCAGGAAGGTCCCCAGTTTGACAAGCCTGGTCTGGAGTGATACGTTATACTTTGCAGTCCTAAAATAAATTAGAAGTATATTATTAAAAATGAAATACTTGTCCAGTGTGCCTGATTTTAAAAATCCTTAACGAGAATGTCTGAAAATAGATAGATCGATCATGTTTTGATGATTGGATTCTTCAATTGCAACGGCACATTTTAAATTGAAGAAAAAATTTATATTAGATTGGTGCTCGGTGACAGCTGATATCCTGAGATCAGGTATCACAATGAGGAGGCAAAAAGTTGGACAGATGCATCCCTACCTAGCGCCCTTATACTTTAGATACCTATGTGTTCATTATTTTAATACATTTTGTCACAGGTCCCAAGAACACAGCATATCTCTGACAGATTATCTTCTCTAACGACTCCGACCAATTGATGAAACCAATCTTTGCCATTTGACATCAATACAAACAATAAAATGATAAATCAGCTTCAGTTGATTCAACAAACACCTGCCCACTAGCCCCTTATTTACATAGAATTTGCAATTTGCGCCCCAATTTAGCTTCATTTACAGCTCATACATAACACAACCTAATTCATACAGATATATATAATATTTTTTGATAAGGTTTGACCGTATGCAACGGTGAATGGTGAATAAGTACAAGAGTGTGAGAAAGAAAGCATGGAAACTCACACTGGCTCTTCTGGCTCTGCACTCTTTTCTGTCACTGTCTCTTCTCGCAGTCTATCCACAGCCTGTGCTCTCTTCTCCTGCGCTGAGAAGCTCTGGCTGCTCACCTTCTGAGCCCCCAGTCCTCCTTTCTTAGAGCCCAACTGCTCAGCAGATACAAACATTGAAATCCATGTAAACACACCACTTAATTTGCCTTTTGCCACATACATTTCATACAGAGGGGCAAACTTCTGCTGTCAGTAAACACATGCAAAAGTAATGCACTTTGGAGAAACAATTTATTGTAAACAGAATTTAGCAGGTATTACTTTTATGTCTATGAACAGTCAACAATTTCTGCACTTACTGTTTTTTTGGCTGCTGCTGGCTTCTTTTTGATTAGAGATGGCTCTGCAAGAGGTAAAAAAAACATGATTATAAAACTTATAAAACACCTAATTCTGGTTCTAAAATCTGATTGGTTGAACTACATTCAGAATCATTTTAAAACAGTTAATATACACACAAACCCACTCATCAAATTAATTATGTATTTATGCTCATACTTATTAATGGGCCCATATCCTACATATTTTTTGCATTTTATTGTTTCGAATTCCACTTATGACATTCAGCCCCAGTCATGTGGGTACATGTACGATAATTCATTTACATGCTCCTGTTAACTTCAATGAGAATGGGCGGGGCTATACTGCTGAATAGGGGAATATATGTAAATGCTCTGGTTTTCATGACATCACAGAAACACTGGATTCAAACTGGACAGGTTTTACAAATTAGTTTTTGTATATGAACTGCACAAACTAGGAAGTGAATGATACGGTCTGAATCTTCAACAATGTTTACATATGACATCAAATCTCTTTTTCCAGTGAGGAAGATCGAGTTTTCTATCATATGGGCCCATTAAAACCATTGTGCTGTAAACAAACAACTTAGTTTGCAGAGGAATTGTTTATTGGTTTTTGAATTACTAATAACTGAAATTATATATTGAACATCAGTATATTGTATTTATCGCATTGTATTTTATTGTCCTTCCATAATATTCCACATGCAACTTAAAACATTATTCTTTACCTAAAGCAGCTTTTGGAGAAACACTGAGGAGCTCGACGGAAGGGCCTTCTTGACTGTTGTCTGTAGATAACAATTATGAGTCAGATATACACACAAACCACAAACACACACACATGCACGTGGCATAGCCAGAACATGATATTTTGGGGTGAGGTTGACAATCAGTGTACTGTAGCCATTTAGCATTTAGCCCCCCTATTATCCTAACCAGGTAGAAAAAAAAGAAAAAAAATTCTACAGAAATGTACAGCCACGGCATGCACTGTAACCACAGCACTACATTTAACAGTACTAAGTGTAGATGTCTGGGACGAATGGTTGAAAACTGCAGTTTTCTTGTTGTTTCTTCAACAGAACTTCAATTTCTTTACCACAATCAACTCTAGCTAGCTCACTAGAAGCCTATGCTAGGAACACCAAGTTCCTAAAATCTGCAGAAACAGTCTAGCATGGTAATCCTGTGAATAAATGTTGTATGTTCTGATTTTTCATTTCTTTGCTGGTCACTTTTTTGTAAGGCACAAGGACAAAAGAACTCAGCACTTATCCTGTATTTTAAATGTGCAAGCTGAATTACATTTTGTAACACTGGGCCTCATTCATCAAATCTTATTACACAGTTTTTACAAAGATTCTGACATTCACCAATGTTTTCTTATTTGGGACTCAACAGCACAAAGATGCGAAGAATTCTGCGGTTTAAAAACATGTTGTGAATCTAACTTAGACTTTTTCTTATGACTTTTCTCTAAAACAAATTTAAGAAAAAACTTAGGAAGATATTGGTGAATGAGATCCATTTCCATTGGCTTTGGAGGACATTTCAAATTTGAGCATTCAGAAACCAGGGTGCAACTACTGGACACACACACACAGACACACACACAGACAGACACAGACAGACACACACAAAAAAATACAGATAAAGTGTTTCAGTACTTTGACCTTCACTGTACCATTATTATTGTTGTCCTGTGTCGTGTCCTGTGGTGGATTCAGCTTTTGCTGGAGAGAGCTGCCATCATCCTAGATAAGCAGAAACACAAGGGAACAGATCTCATTAACACATACATACAAGAGGAAAGAGACGGTTTAAAAGCAGTATTGTTCTATGCAGTTTGAAATCATCAGCACAACCAACTAAGGGATAAACCTGTTCACTAATGGGATTATGCACACACACCTGTGTGTGCTGACTGAAAAAGTCTTCATGTTTGTCTCCAGGAGATGTGGGGGACAGGGGAGCCTGGCTGTCCAGCCACAGCTAATATGAGGGAGTGAGAGAGACAGAGAGACAGAGAGACAGAGAGAGAGAGAGAGACAGAGAGAGAGAGAGACAGAGACAGACAGATTTAATGTCTACATGCAGTCATAATAGAAGTTCACACAGACATTGTTGCATTCAATAAGTACTGCTGTATGTCATGTCAAATGCATAAAAACTTTCATGTGATTGTGATTGTGTGTGTGTGAGACCTCTGTGCCGTGCTGCCTGGTGGCTTGAGTGGCCAGAGTCTTTATCTTCTCTCTATAAAGCTGCGCTGCTCGGCTGTTGTATTTGGCATTGGCTGCACCTGCAGTGCCACCGTGTTGGTTAAAAAAGGCAGTCTGTATTGAGTACAGAAAAAGAATATTAGTACTTGATTACGATCAATATGATCACAAAGACTGAAACTGTGCAAAAACTTTAGGCACCTAAGCACAATATTTAAAATCATTTATCTCAGAAGTAAATGTGTTTTTGGCAGTAGAAACACCATATATCACTAGAAATATAAAATCAACATACATAAAATCAATGACCAATAGGTAATTTTAACATAGATTTTTAGATTAGACTTATATTATATTACACGTTTTTAATTAGATTTTTTTTAATGTAATTTTTTTAGCTGAGTAATCATGACAACCCTAACTTCAGCTATCCCATTTTCCTCAATGAGCAGTAAAACAAAGGCAGTATGGGAGAAGAACACTCACTGCACTGGCATTGCCCCCAACCTGCATGCAGCGCAGCTGATACCAGGACCAGTTGGAGTCCAGTTCAGTAGACCTGCTCGAGAAGTCATCCATTAATTGTGGTCAATAATTAACATGGCATCACTATAATGGTGCGATAAAAGGTAGATTCTCAGAAAGATATGACAACTGGGCAGCCTAATCTCACCCCGATTGGGCCACTGGGACATGCTGTAAGAGGTAAAGCCAAATATAGAGACATGAGTAGTTTACTCAACCTGATAAAGGACAGGTGCACTCCCAGAGAGCGGTGAGTCCCTGAGCAGTCAATACACAGGAACACTCCATATGTGATACTGGCCCAGCTGGGGTTCTTAGCAGAGCAGTCAAAACAGGCCTGAGAGGGTAAATGGAGTAAAACACACATTTTAACACATTACTAACACTTTCTAATGTCATTTTATCCCTTTATTATCTTGACTTACTTGAATTAGACACATCAAAATAAGTTCATGCAATGACAATTCTCTATCAGCATAATTCATTTGTGAACATCAGAACTGAAAGACCTGCAGCTTAAATCAATTCAAAGGCATATTTTATGTTATTTTAAGTTTAACTGTGGCCTGCAGGGCTAAGACTTGCAGGCTTGGTAAGCTACATGACGTAGTTAGAGGAAGGAGTTCAAATTGTTGTTAAATAGTTAAACCCAGTCCAAAAAGCTTAGAAAAGAAGCAAAAAAAAAAAAACGAAATATTCATGCTCTCCATCACAATACTGGCCATTACAGTTACTATTACATGGATGAAAACAATGAATACAAGTCGTGGTCGAACTTCAGCTAGTTGTGAGAAATGTGATCACGAGAGACAGAGAGAGTCTAAATGTTTAGGCTAACAGACGCTAATGTAAACAGACACAGTCTACTGTTTTTTAGAAACTTTTTTGGCAAATTCTGGCTGAGAATGAACCGTCTGGATGAAGAACAGACTAAACGGCAGCTGCCATATGTTTGACTGAAGAGGAGAAAAACAGCAGCAGCCCAAAAACTGCGACGTGTCACGTCTCCTACTCCCCTTCACCAAAACACAGCTCTACCCGCTTTAACCGTCCTCTGCTGCTCACCTTATTCGTAGGAATTGACCGTAAACGCTTGAAAATGGCAGAAATGTCGTGCTTGGTCGGTTCTGTCATGTTTTCCACCTGTTGATGTGGACGAAGGAAGAAACACTACAGCCGCCGAGCCGCCGATCCGCCTCAACTTCCGCATTCAACGTCAACACTGGAGAGGGGATACTAGTGCGTGCTGGGAAATGTATGCAATTTGAGACCTCAAATTTGAGATGTAAACCCATTTAAGGGAAAACCTTTTTTTAATAAAAGAGATTGACTTATTAAGTAAATGTTGCCAGTGATTCAAAACGTCCCATATGAAAACTAAATCAGCCTGACGTGAATTCACTATTTTTTCACTCTCACATGAATTTAACGAAATAAAACTTTCATCATAATTTATGAATTTATTCTGTTAGTTTACTACCTTTTCACAAAATCTCGAGCTCAAGGAAGCTGAAAAAAAAGACTATGCTAATACTGTTAGCTGAGCTAACAGACCATTAGCGTTTGGCTGTTTATTTAGACTGACTGCCTTTCTCTGTAAATGTCGAGCCTCATATAATGTTCTCCTAATGTTCTGCAGACTTTAGCATTTAGCTGTTTGACTTACTTGGATTAGACACATCAAAATAAGTTCATGCAATGACAGTTCTCAATTAGCATGAGTCATTAGTGAACATCATAATTGAAAGATCAGCAGCCTAAATCAATTCAAAGGCATATTTAGTGCTTTTTTTATTTTAACTTCGGCCTGCAGATTGACTGCCTTTCTCTGTAAATGTCAAGTCTCATATCATCTCCTGTGGCTTTCTGTGGTCTCAATATGGCTTTAATTTAAAATGGCAAAACAGCGAAAAATTGAACAGCGCTCAGAGTTGCCGAGTGCTGGCGCGAAATAATGCCAAATGTCAGTGGCGGTGTCCAAGTCCTTATAGGGAAGTCAAATCACTGTTTCAAAAATCACTGATAAATCTGAAAACACCTCATAAATAGTCTGTAGTGTTTGGCTCTGGAATGCTGGAATGTTTTCTTCAGGTTGTTCTGGCTACTGCGCTTGTGCATATCTCCACAGTGAGGGGGGCTTTTCCTGTTCACAGCGTAAACAGCAAGCTGATTAGCTCTTTTTTTTGAAGGGCAGGACTTTCTCCACAAACAGACACCATGTTGAACGTTATGAACTTTCCTGTTCATATTTCAACCAGTGATCAGTCTTCAGTTTTACAATGTCTCTGGTGGTGTGCACTCCTAATTAAATTAAACTCACAATTAAAAACAAAGGTTTTTCATTTTGATGCTTTGTGATGTGACATAGTGCGTTTGGTGTGTCTTGCGTTAGGCTCTTCACCCCTCCCCTGTCTCGGCTGTAATTTTGTCACAGTCTCCAGGCTAAATGACAAGTTGGCTGCATAAAGGGGGATGTTTTTCCTCCCTCTTGCCAAAACCATGAGACCACATTCCTGGAAATACTTTTATATAATGGTTCTCACTTTGTGAATCCTCTCTGTTTTCGTTGCTTAATGTGGCCAAGATCCACCTACTTTGACAGAAAGGGGCGATTTGTCTGACATCCAAAAACAACCAACCATGTACTGTTACGTTAGTGTGACATATTGGGGCAAGCGATTTTCAAACGGTATTAGATGAAAATAAGGACCCCTCTCTCCTGCTGAAAAAAAAATCATAGAAACTATTAAAAGCTTCTGTTGGTTACTGATGCTGTCCAATAGTCACTAATGGTATTTTGTGTTTTCCTTATGGGTTAACACTGTGTAAAGGATTCTAATGGTTTAACTGGTGTTCTGGGAATGATTCTAATTCATTGGATGGTTTCCTAATGTTCTAATGTGTCTTACAGGAAACCAGTGGTCTATAATGGTAACAACTTAGCAAATTCCCATTAGAAAGCAAAACCATTAAGTTTTAATCCTAATGGTTCTACAGGTCTTTTTTTCAGTAGGGTGATTTGAGCACAACTAAATGCTTACAACAAAGCCTCCTTAAAGACTCGAAGATTTAATGCCAAGAACTTCTCAAACTTCTTTTCAGTCCATGTCTCACTCTGAAAGGCTCTGTTGTTACAGCTTGCACAGCAGGCAAGTGCTTGCAAAAGTCCATCTGACCGATCAAACTCTGTAAACTGAGGAGAGTTCACTTGGATGTGCGGCCTGACAAAAACACGATCGCTGCAGCCAGCTTACTTTATTATAGATACCAGACTTTGTGTACATGCAGGTGGAGCATCTGAGGCCGATACTGTTTTTGTGATGTCACTTTTACATATATCTGCTTATTCAGCCTATTCAGCAGTTTAGCCCTGTCCAAACACATTAAATTATGTGTTACAAAGAGTGTTATAAGGAGTGTTTCTGCCTTCATTGCTTTTTGAAAGAATAGCAATACAGGGCAGCCTGAGATAATTTACATATATTAGTCTTAATTTTTTTTCCATTTCATTTTTTTCCACTCCTGCTATCACAGCCTATCACGCTAATGTTAAAGCTACTGCTGAGAGACCACAGCACAAAGCCAGAGCAGAGTATCAGTCCCAGTCACTCCATTTGCATGACAGATCTGAACTACTGCTAGGCCTCAGTGAGTTTCCTGAAGGAAGTGAACATAATGTTAAAAGAACCATTAGTGTCAGCCAGTCAGAGTGCCCAAGCAGAGCCACTGAGCCTCGGTCTGTGGCCACAGCAGACACCCTTATTTTTGGAATGACTCTGTTGGTGGTGTGAAAAACCACAACCTCATAGTTTGATATGTGCTGAACATCACAGTCTCCAAGCTGAATGACAAGCTTCCTACTTTACTAGCTGAATACACAACAGCGAAGCAGATCATTGTTCACGTATGCAAGAATGACAGGAGGAAGGATGAGTCTGAAGCAAGACTGAACTTAATTGACAACTTCAACCTGTTTGTTGGGAAGAGATAATTTTTAGGTGAAATGGAGCACACACCAACAAGAGGGGTGTCAAATCTCTGAAAGAGAGCCTTATTTTCTCCATGTGCAACTTATCCATCCTCTTTGGTGGAGACACATCAGCACTAACACACAAGGTCACAACATTGTCCCCCCCTGAGAACTGCCATGACGATGTTCTACTGTATCAGCTGCCAGAGACACCAAAACCGCATGAGAAATCCACTCCATCCTCCATCTCCTCCCACCCCTCACCCTGCCTGAACCCCCCACCATGGAGAAGCTGGTTTCAGCTGGGACGAGGCTGCTGCTTTCCCTGTCAGCCAGCCCTCAGGTTCAGTGAAAAATCAGCCCAGCTTCTCCTCCACTTTCATCTATAGCCACCGCAGCCCAACAACCCCAACACATTAACCAATGAAAGAGTTAGTTAAAGCTGCTACGCTGAAGGTCAACCAAATTGATGAACTATTAAACAAAGCTTCCCACCTGTAGCACCTCAAAGAAAAAGACAAGCTCCTCAACCAATGGAAAGGCAGCTTCGCTCTCTACTTCGTCACCAGGTGCCTCACGCACCCTCCTCCACCAAAAGGGAAGCAGTCATCCTATTATCAAGTAATCCAGCAAATTGATATTTTTTAAGGTCGTGCTGCTACAGTGATGATGTCAGCAGCATGTTTTCGAAACAAGCTCAGACCCAGTGTGCTAGTAATTTCTCCCATTGCAGTACTTATCAGAAATAGAAAGAACAGGAAGCACGTCAGATAATCTGAATGTACACAATCAGTCTGTAAAATGTGAGTCAGCTTTTGACGCAAAATGCACCGGTTACTAAGTTAGCTCTTCTCAAGATGAGATCTCTTACAAACAGGTCTCGTTTGATTAATGATTTCATTACAGCCCGTGGGTTTGATTTTATGCTTTTAACAGAAATGCAGTTAAATGAATATAGTGCTGAAACTGTATTAATCGAGTCGGCTCCTTCCAATGCAAGCAATTATCATTTAGTGACTTGTGTGGTTCCAAAAGGGACACCAAGAATATTATTAGTAATTGTCTACAGGCCTCTGAAGTACTATGCTAATTTTATTGATGAATTTACAGATCTTTTATTTCCACTGATTCTGATCATTTTGTTATTGCTGGTGATTTTGCAGACATATTGACAATTCCAACGACAGTAATGACAAGGAACTATGTGCCATATTGGACTCTTTTGGACTCTCTCAGCCTGTAACCGGGAACACACACTGTCATGGGCACAATCTGGATGTGGTTATCTCAAACGGTCTCAACATGTCAGCCTCCGTTAAGGACGTCACTATGTCAGATCATTTCTGTGTTTTCTAGACATGGATTGCTTCAAGAAAAGGTTTATAAACGACAGCACAGCTACACTTTTCATGAGCAAAATGTGCTCTGCACCAGCTGATGCTTTACTGGATAGCTTTAACTCAAAAATGGTCAGTTATGGATGAGACTGAAACCAGTTAAAGTTAAAATCATGTAATGACAACAGAAAGTAATCCTGCTGCAGTTCAACTCCAAAAGAGAGAATGTAGGAAGGCTGAACCAAGCTTCAGGTCCACAAAGGAATCTTCTTTAAAGATAGGCTGCATGATTACAACACAATAATGAGCAAATCACGTGTTTTTCTTCAGCACTATCAAAAATAATATTAACAACAGCTACATATTCTTTGCCATGATTGACAAACTAACGAAGTCACTTTCATAAATGGCCCTTGAATTAGTATCAGCTGAGGGATGTAATGTTTTTGCATACTTTAACACTAATACCCATATCAGACAAGCCATTAGTATGTCTATATCCACCACTGCGTTCTCTTCATCACCACATAAAAATACCATGTCCCAGTTTAGTGCTATTAATATATTAATTTTAATTGATACAGTAAATCATCTTAAATCATCCACTTGTAGTCTTAAAACATTACCAACCAACTTTTTAAAGAATGCGTTTCCTTCAATAGCAGCAGACATACTTCAGATAGTAAACACCTCACTCATATTTGGTGTTTTTACAAAATATTAAAAAGCATGTCTATAACATAATTACAAATCAATTTCAAATCTACCTTTCATTCAAAAAATCATTGAGTAAATTGTCTTCAAACTACTTAGTTACTGTCTAGACAAATTTCAGTCAGGACTTCAGCCTAATCGTAGTACTAAGACTGCTCTAATTATGGTTATTAATGACATTTGCTTAAATACAAACTACAGATAGACTTGAGAACTAGGTTGGTCTATTGTTAACTGTCTTAAAATAGTTCAGTTCATACCTGCAAGCAAGGAAGTACTTTGCTGAAATAGAAAATATAATATATGTTTGCAGGTGACCTGTGGTGTGCCTCAGGGTTTAATTCTTGGGCAGCTCTTATTTAATTTACACTATGGGATATCTTACCACAGCTGTGCAAATAATATTCAGATCGACTTGGCCCTCACAACATCTATGGTCCCCTTGACTCACTTTGTAAGTGCCTTGAGAACATCACTAACTGGATGGGACAAAACTTTCTGCATTTGAATAAAAATAAGACACTGATTATTTTACTCTGGAACAGCAATGAGAGGCACAGACTAGCTGCCTATCTGGATTCAAGAGCCTAGTACATAACTTTAGCGTACTAATGGACTCTGGTCTCAGTTTTAGCAGTCATGTCAAAGCAGTTACTAAATCAGCTTTTTATCACCTTAAGAACATCAGCAAGATTAGTGATTTTCTTACTAAACCAGATTTCTAGCAGGATTGATTACCGTAATGGGCTCCTAACAGGACTCCCGAAAAAAACAAACAGTTTCAGTTGATTCAAAATGTGGCTGCCAGAGTCTCACTAGGAGTAAAAGAAGGGAACACATCACTCCCATTCTTAGATCCTTACACTGGTTACCAGTCTGTTACAGAATAGACTTTAAGGTACTATCATTGGTCTATAAATGGCTTAATGGTGCAGGACCAGCATATTTATTTCATATGTTGCAGCGATATGAGCTGAGCAGAACTCTCAGATCTTTAGGAACTAGTCAGTTAGTCTTGCCGAAGGTGAAGACTAAACATGGAGAAGCAGCATTTAGCTACTATGCCGCTCTTAAATGGAACCATTTGACAGGGAGCATTAGAAGAATCCCGACACTAGAAACCTTTAAATCCAGGCCTTAAACATTCCTTTTTGAGCAGGATTTCAGCTCAGTGTAAAACACTGTTAGCTGTACTACACTTCTGTCCCACAAAAGCACTTTATTATCCTAATTTAATTTTTAATTTTATTATAACTTTAATGATTTCTTCTCTTTTAAAACGAGTTTTAATCATGTTTTAATTTCTATTCTCCTTTGTTACTTTTTTAATTTTCATTTCTTTGTATTTTTCCTCTTTTGTAAAGCATTTTGAATGACTGCAGTGTACGAAATGTGCTACATACATAAACTTGCCCTGCTTTGCCTGAAGTCTAAAGTACAAAAAAAGGTTGGAAAATGTTTTTTTTTCTTTTTCTTTTTGTAAATGCAAATGTCATAAATGTATAGGAAAAAATAATACAAGATATATAAAGTAATACAAAAATTGAAATAATATAAAAACTACAGGATGTGGCTGCTTTAAGAGATAAACACAGTAAGACATTCATAGTTTAAATCACTTTATTAGCCAACTGCAGAGTGACAAGTTGAACAAAGTGCACTGTGTGAGCGCAGTTGCTGCTTTAACGTAACAAAATCCAAAAAGTTGAAGCTGATAGTTATGCCACTGCTTTTCAATTACAGCAAAACTCTGGTACATTCAAAAGTTTGCTCTTGTCCCCCCTGAGATGGCATTAACAGATAACTGCCATCAGTGAATGTGAATAGGCTGAGATTTCCATTGGCAACTCTTGACTAACTAAAATAAAATTAAGAAACATTGCATCCTAAAATGTGCTAATAGTTGTGTATCTGTATAACTCAATATGACCATCTGCAAGAAAATTAAAATTCATATATACAAATGTAACAAAATAAGTTCATGACATTCATACGCCATATCAATGCTCAATTAATATACATTCTGATTCTGAATCACAGCATTTGTCCATGGGCAAAAGTTGAAGTACTTAAGGCATTTTTATAAATTAACAGTCTGAATTTTAAAACTACACCATTCATAACCATCACCAATTAATATGCTTATTTTGTTCTTAAGTTCACCGCAATGTACATGCAAAAAGGCTGGTATCTTTTTTTCCTTCAGTAACTCCACTTTGGTGTGAAACATAAAGTTGGAGAGGACGTCATGTGGCCGTGGCATCTTTTAACTGAAGTGTTAGAATTTTCTCTTGTGGTCACTGAATTGTCCAGTGCAGGCTAGAGAGTGAAAAACTTTCTTTTCCCAAAAAACACGTTCATAAACCATTTGAAATGAAACTTTACTGACTCAAAGCAAAGGCCTACTCAAACGAGAAATACAAGTAAAAAGTTGTGACTCAACAAGTGATCAGTTACAAACAACAAAGGTTTTACAGCGATGCTAGAGAAGAACCACTTTTGGTTCCTTTTGTAACTTTTGAATGAATGTCTCCTTAAAAGTACTCAACTGAACAGTTTAAACCAGAAGTCATTCTCCAAAGAACCCTTTTCGACACCTGTTTTTAAACCACCTTTGTTTTTAAGAGTGCAGGTGAATGTGCCACTGTTATATAAGAACATCAGTTCAGCTAATCCCTGATAAACTACTCCAGCATGAGCCTTCAGCCAGCAACTAAGCTTGTTTAGGTCTGGTTTATTTCAGGGTCAAAATTATCACCCATTCACATACACAGTAAAACGTGGAAAATAAAACCACCACATTTCCTGATAGTAATCAGTGGAAGACTAAGTGAAACTCTTACTTGCTGTATGTCCATGTATACAATCATTTGAAGACATCCAAATTTTTCAATAGGTAATATTGTGAAGATTATATGTTCCGGCAATAGTGTGATTACTTTACATTCCTATTTTCGGGTCTAGAAGAATTTAATTGGACATCTTTCTTAGTTATAAATTTTGTTATAGGGAAACATTCTGGCCACAACTTATATATAATACTAATATGCATGGAAACGCTTGATTTACTAAAACAATGTGTTTCTTTTTTAGCAAAGCTGGATCCTTTGGCCTTGAACAATACATCGGCATCAGAGAAAGTAGTAACCAATGGATTTTCCAACCCAAGATACTGAATTGTTAAGGCACAGAAAAATAAATGTCTCTTTTCCATATATTTCCTTTTCTCCAACAGATAATGAAAATGTTGTTGGAGCTTTTTTTTATAGTCAGGACCTCTAAAAAAAAGTTCTGGCTCAATTTCAGACTTGGTGAGAATAAACTGCTGTCAATCTAACAATCAGCATTGAAGAATTTTTTTTTCAAAGGCCTGTCATCACACTGTGTTCAGCTCTTTAAAAGTAGACTAAGTGATTGTTGAATGATGTGTTGATTAAAACTCATTCTCACAAATGGACATGCAGCTGTAACAATCTGAAAAGATACCAGCTGGGAAGTTGGTGGATTAAGATAGTAGTGTGGCATCTACTCCTAGATCTGCGAGATAGGGCGACATCTACAAGAAAACAAGAGTGAAAAGTCTTTCGTTCACTGCAGCGGTCGGTCCAGCCTCCACCACAAGAGGGGGACAGCAAGCAGCTTCCTCTCGCACGAAAACACCCCTCCCCTCATTTCTTCTCCCCATCCCGCTTTCTCTCTACCTCTCCACTCTCTTCTCATCTTGTCTCTGGTCACTGAATGTCCTCCACATAGTTGGCTGGGTAGAGTCCCACAGTGCCATCTTTCAGACGCCCTTTGCACCATCCCTGCTCGTCCTCCTCTCCGATTTTAGTAAATTCGTCACCTTTAACAAAGAGAGAGAGAGCAAGAGACTGAGGAAAACACACGTATTTACTGCAGTTACAGTGCAGAGTAAAACTAATCCAGCGTACCTTTTATTTAGACACATCAACTATCGCTTAAGGTTCCTGTATCTTGATGTACGAACTTGTTATATTTATTCAGGGTTTTCCAGGACAATTTACCCGACGGCTGTTGTCCATTAAAGAACATTTTAAAATGATGCACTACATTCTTAACATTAAAATCAACAATACAACCCTAAGTGACTAAGTGGAATACTGACTCAAACCATTCTTTAAACAATGATCATTCGCTTACAAGTTTTGATCACATCTGATCGTCTTGCTCTTTCAGGTGTTCCGACACTGGATCCTCTGAATTCCGAGGTCGTTAAAGAGCTGGAATATGAATATTGCTACAAGTAAGCTAATGCTATTGCACACTGATTATATGTCGTTGGATTGGCAGCCTTCTCAAGCAGGCTTTGTCAGTGTGGTAGCGTTATTTCCATGTACAGACTGAGAAGAGAGAACAAAACAAGCAGGTTTCCCTGCAGTTATGTGTTCTTCATCGGATACTCACTGAAACACGACAGATCTTTCCGTTCTGTACATAGTTTGTTTTGGAAAGCTCTACAAACTTAACTGCACTCAGGCTATATCAGTACAGATTCAGCTTAATATCACTGCTGACCCCCTCATAAACGGATTTAGGCTATCAGAATATCCTAGTTATTATTTTAATGCTGGTAACATTTTTCTGAGAACATTTTCTCAGGACATCCGCCAGCTTGTTGTTCAACTTTTCCCGTTCCACCTTAAATGGTGCAGCAAAACGTACACGAAACATAATGTATCGAGTTCTGAACATTTTTATTCAAAACAGGGAGCGGATGAGAGGATTTTTCGTAAACCCTATTTGTTCTGGCCATAGAGAGATTGAGCTTAGATCCAGAGCTCCTAATATGGGCATAACGCGAACTACACAATGGCATATGACTACAGTGGTCTATTGCCCATGTATTTGTCCATATTTGACACTGTAGCATTTCAAACTGCAACAGATGTGAAAGGACACTTAAACTAAACATAAGCAGCTAAACTACGCTAAAACATACAAGAAGGAATATATTGAAATCATGAAAATATGACTGGAAAACTTGTCTATGAATGTCCAGGTTTCCCATCACATGTGGAACCCTGTTTATATATATATATATATATATATATATATATATATATATATATATATATATATATATAAAATGTATCAGATTTCATAGGGGTGATGGGCATGTGTCACAGGCACCAATATGCTCATGTGCGCATACTTGAAGACCACAGCTCTAGCATTCTCTACCCATGTTCACTCTGTTCTTATTTTACCTGCTTTGAAGCTCAGCTCGTCCTGCTCCTGACCCTCATAATCATACAGAGCCCTGACTGGTACAGAGACTGCCGGAGAAGATGGCTCATCATCAAACGGATTCCCGTTTCCGTTAGCGTCCGCTGCGAAAGGATTCCCAGTCTCCTCATCTGACCAATCCTGCGTCTTCTCCACTCTGCTAGCACTGAGAGAAAAAAAAGAGGTGAGACTATGAAAACGTGTCACAGAACATGACTTGCAACAGTAAATCATGGACAATGACTGGACATCCAACATGCCAGGTGAAAGGAGCAGCAAGAGAGGAAGGTTTAGATGCAGTGGACAAAGTAACACAACCCCACTGAAAAGAAACTCAAACGCACACATTCAACCCCAAGCAAAAGCTCAAAGACATGCCAGAGTGCCTCCTCACAGAAGACTTCTGCTCTCGCTCCATGAATGGGAGAAACACCTGTTTACACAGTGGAACTGTACATGACATTTCGAGAGAGAAGGCCTGATTGTCAGCAGCCATCGGAACAGGCAAAGCTTAAGAGTTGAGAGGAGGCACAAATCCTCAAGATAAACAGAAAAATACAAATACCCCATTTAACCCTTAGAAGTTGCAGTTAATATCAGAAAAAAACAAAGCATGGTGTGATTCTATAGGAATAATTTCTCACTCTTAACTCACTAAAAACAAACAGCAAAATTCTGTTATAAGTGCAGATTCTAAACTTTTAATCCATATCAACTCTGTGTTTGTAAGTCGAAGAGGAGATATGATCATTTCTGTGACTGAATTTGATTTGATTTTCTTCTGTAAGAAGGAAAAAATGTGTTTGTTGACATTAAACAGAAAAAAGTTGCAGATCTGAACCTGAAAATACAGAAGGTAAACTGAATGTAAATATAATTTGCTACATAATTATGTATTTAATCATGCAGTTGTGTAATTACAATTCCATACTATACAAATACAGAGTATGGTAACAAATTAACAGTAATAACTCTTAACATCTAAGGGTTAAAGCACAGATGGCTGTAGTGTGCTAAGCCGCCACAGAGAGCAGCACTAACACACCGCCCCACAAAGTGAACACAAGCATGAGAGAAAAACACAAGAGAACATACAGAACCGGTGACACAGTGTTACAGTCAGACCATCACAATGCATGCCAAACATTTCTTAACACAAGAAACTTCTTTCTCAATCAGGTTTCTTGTAAGCAATGAGAGTTTTACTTCAGAGAACACCCTTCATTTATTTAATTTCTAGTCAAAATGGCCATTAGGTGCAAGTTATTCTTTTTTAGGAGGTATTTCTGAGGAGATTAGATAATCCACTTACATAAAGAAGAAGAAGAAAGCCAAAGGAAACTGTGATCTTTAGATAAACAGTACTTTCACTGTTAAGAGAGAGGAGAAAATCTCCACTCATCAGATATGAAAAATGTGTTTATCCTTCCACTTTGAGAAGACAGCTCAACACTATGGGTCTAAAAGGATGTGTAGCTATCAAGAAGCCTTTACTGAGAAAAGAAAACAAAAAGCATGAAAATCTGCAAATTTGTTCTGGTGTCCTCAGAACTCAACATCAACGAATGTGTTTGGGATTACTTAACTTCAGAGGTTTGGAAAAATATCCCTGCAAAAAACTAAAAGCAAGTCTACTGAAAAGAATGGAAGCTGAAATAAAGGACAAAGAGTAGACACACTAAATACCAACAAATACTGATATTATACTTAGTTCTTGAGGCATCTATGCATTCTAAATATTTCATTTTAAATATGTTTTTGTTCTTCCTTTTCCTGCTGAAAAATAAATGACTTTTACCTAGTAACTGTTTTGACTGAAAATTAACTAAAGTTTGGTCTCTGATTTTTAACAGTACTGAACATACATGACACACTGTTTGTGTGACTTTTCTAAAAGGGTCTGACTGAACACTTGCACAGCTTAATGCACGACCAGGCTGCTCTGCAGAACAAAACAATGTCAGAGATGTGAAGAACACAGGGTGTGTGTAGGTGCTTAAACAGTATCTTCACTACGCAACCATGCAGAAAAAAAAACAGCCACCTGAAAGTAGAACAGAGGGATAGAAAAAGAAAGTAAAAATAACACAGGCAAGAGTACAAACAGCTACAACAGAGAGAAAGAAAGATGCATTGCAGCAGAACAGCAGCAGATGCTTTCCGTTCACCAACGTTTTGGAAATAACTTCTTCTTTTTTGGCATTGACTGGGCTGCTGTTGGGCTGCTCCGCTGGCGTTTCCTCTTCATCATCGTCATCGTCGAATGGGTTTAAGCCCACTGGTTCTGTGCTACTGGGCACAGTCAAACTAAGTCAAACATGAAGAGAGGCAGCACTGTGATACACACATCGCTAAACAGATCTGTGGAAATTATGTACATTATACAGCTACACAATTCAACATATGCAGTAAGCAATGAATCGTAGAAACATGAAAGCAATTCATGGCATTTTGTGCCCCTTGCCACATCATACTGTGATCAATGTGACACAACAGAAACAGGCTAAATATTACACAATAAAATTTGAGACATCAAAGAACAGGCATTCCCAGTAACTGACAACTTGTGTAAAGGGCACCTTATAAAATGGATAGTTCTGGCTCTGAAACTGAGTGGCTGGGCCTTTGTTCGAAACTGTGGTAAAATATACATGCATATTACTGAACACTGGTGTGGCGTGCGCCCGTCCCCCAGGTCCCGATGGCAGCCGCAAGAGCTGGCAGGAAGGCGGGGCCCGAGCTCCGAGCAGGGACGAAGCCCGACGAGGACGGGGAGAGGAACACCACGAGTGAAGGGGGGGACAGTGTGCGAGTCCCGAGCCCCGCCTCCTGGGCGGCGCCTCGGGTCCCGCAGTGAGGCCACGTTAATTAGCCTTATGTTCGCTCCGGACGGACGAGCTGAGAGTGGGGGACGGTGACTTGGAGGCGGAGCAACGAGTTCTCGTTCTCTCTCGGCTCAGGTGCTCACGCTGCCCTTAATGAGAGCCAGCTGACGCTGATCTGGCTGGCAGCATGAGCGCCTTTAAAAAAAAAAAAGAGCAGAGAGAGAACAGAGAGAGAGAGACGAGCAGCAGCAGCAACAACACAACGACGACGACGACGACAGAGCAGAAAAGCTTACTTTGAAAAGGACTGAAAAGTCTAGCTTAAGCCACTGAAAAGTGGCCAGCGTAGCTTTAGTTGTTCGGTTTTGTTTTTGCTCATTTGGTGTAACCCTGCAACCCTGAACCCTGCCTCCAGCGTCCTCCTTGAGCCCGGGGTAGCACATGCCGTACTACAACTGATTATTAAAACTATTGTGCTATTTATTGAACATGTTGCTCAGCAAGCCTAAACTACAAGCTTGGCAGAAGAACTGTTTATTATTATTATTATTATTGTTGTTATTATTATCATACATTTAACACTTTATTAAACGTTTGTGTATTTTATCACGTTGATTTTTTATCTCAAGGCTTTATTTGTCCACAGTTGAGGCCCTCATCAGAAACACTATTGCTTACTGAGTTAATAGTGACAAATTTCCACCAAAACATGAGACAAAATATCCACCGGTACCAATAATTCAGGATATTTCAACTTCAGGAAACACTGAACCCATTTATGAAATATACTATGCGATCAGACTGCGGCTGTTTGTGTACCTTTCCAAAGACACTATTACTGTGACGGAGGACATTTGAGGCAAAAGAGAGGAAGACAGCCAAGAGTAAGACAATGCTGGTACTGTCAGGAGTAAGCAACATGCTGCAAGAAGGAGAGCACAGGACTGAGAATGCTTTCTATTCAATAACTTTTTCCTGCCCCCCCTCCTCTCTGCTCTACTACTTCTACTACTCCCACACCCACTCAAAGGTGGAATCCATGTTTTGCTGAGGTTAGAGAGGAGTCTACTGTTGGTCTGCTTGGTCAAATAAAGGTCAAGTGCTTCTGGAATGCTTCAGATTCTTATAGCTAACTCCCTTTGAAGACGCAACGGCCCCTGGAAAAAAGGCTAGGATAGAAAGGTAAACATTCGGTGATAACTGTGAAAAAAAAACAACAAAAAAAAACTTTCAAACAGGTATTTTATACCAATCAGGCTGACCGAGTGTGTGACTGTGAAGAAGCATTGGCACTCCCTTTGCCATAGGGTCAAGCAGGTGGGGCTTCCCCGGGGTATGTCTATTTAAAAAGCAGGGATACGCTGGTATTTTAGGAAGGAAGTCTGCGTAGCTACTTTTGACTGCACTGGCATACAATGTTCAAGCCATAATAGGCTATGTAGGGATACTGGGAATGCGCTTCTGAATGAAGGAGATGATAGTGGTGGAAGAAAAGAAGTGCTTGATTCGCCACTCGATGAAGACCACATATAACATACTTCTGCATGGTCATTCTGATGACCTGTAAACTCGCCCAGTAGTGCTTTAAGTGACTCTGGGGTTCATGAAACCGTGCAGGCCATTCGCGCAGGTTTCACTATAGATTGTGTTTCATTTTTTAATTTTTAAATGTAATTTTCTTGATTTAAAAGGGAATTAACCCTGATTTTTCAGGATTTCTGCATATTCAAATTGTGAAGATGTAAACCAAGTCATTCAGAGTGGTTTGATGTGAAAGGAGCTGTTTTAGAGAAACTTACCGAGTGGGCTGTACACAGTGGTGGTGACGTTTGAAATGCCTCTAAAATGCTACCTCACAAAGTTAGGACATAAAATCGTTACAAATATGCTGCCTTACGCTGAGACACTTTTTTTTTTTTAAAGCCACGTATAGTGGAAAGGTATATGAAAGGCACTTTGAGGCAAAACAATAGTCAAAGAAAACTATTTTTCTGATTTACCACCTTTTACCATTATCAACATTACATATAAAAACTTGTGTAAAATGTGTAGATTGTGGTTTTAGCTAGTAAACAAAATGGCTTTATTTGGATGACAGTCACTGGATCCCTGGTTCCTATCACCACCACTGTAAAGAAATCCTAGTTCGTAGGTTTCCGTGCAATGAACCCTTTTAAACATTAAACCACTAAGAACAACTTGGTTTACATTTCTACACAACTATGTAGAAATTTTGAAATTTTTTTACAATTCCCCTTTAAGATTATTCAACACGAAAGTATATTCAAAACTGCAAATGACCATAGACTATGAATGCTACCTAGCGCTTTGTGGTGTGGATTACCTGTTGTTGGTCTTTGTTGTTCGTTCTCCTGTTTGGTTGATGCCCGTCAAAGTCACTTCATCACTTGGCTTCTTTTTTTCTCTCCGGCTCAGTGTCCGGTTCAGGTCTACGGACCAATCCTACAAACACATGAATGCACAAAGATAAAAACTGTCTCTAAAAAGAACAGCTGAGCCCTAGTCCTCCAATTCTGGTCTATGAACTGTGGTACGAGTTGCAACACGTCTCTATCACAGACACATGTGCCTGCTTGCCAGATTACATCTCTTGCTGGTTCAGTTAGCAAACGTAACCTCACACTGTTTATGAAACAGGACTTTCACAAGTGCCCTGTGTCGTATTTCTCTGCAATAGAAACAAACGTGTTTCCATCAACACTGCACACACAAACACACATACTCAAATCAGGGCACCACACACTGCGATAAAACAGCTCAATGAAGAGCACACCACTGCCCAGATGCAAACACAATACTTGACAGCTCCTGCTAGACCAAACACTTCAAGGTACTTTTCACTTCACACGTACAGTTTCTGCATTTCAGACACCTGTGTCTACATCTGAATAGGGCTGAACAATTAATTGTCTTTATATCGAAATCGCAATTTGAGGAAATGTAATTTCGCAAATAAAATCGCAAGAGCTTCCATTTTAATCATATACTAAATTAATCAACATTGTCTCAAGCTGGGAAATTTAACACGCTACATTCAACGTTCAAGCCTCAAGCCCAAAAATAGATGTGCTGGTCTTCATCAGAAAAAAGCCAGAATTTATAGAAAATAAATCGCATTTAACCGCAATTATAATATTGGTCAGAAAATTTGCAATTAGATATTTTCCCCAGATCAATCATTTCCATGTCAGAGTGCCTATTTACATATCATTTTGTGCATTTCAGATCCAGATCATGTACAGATGAGATTTATTTACATTTCATTAACATCTGGCCACGTAAACGCATCTCTGTTAGACAGACAGAAATCTAATTTGCATCAGGGCTGCTTTGTGTGTTGCTTGCAAATCCAAGGAATTCCCTCCTGTAATCAAGTCAACATGAATCAGAAACCAGAATTTATTTTTATTTGTCAACGTGACGTATTTCTGCGTGAAACACAATATTCAAGTGCTAAATAACTGTGGGCATGATGTTTTATTATTTTACATTTTATTTGACTGGTGAGTGAAAAGCAAGCGTTCTGAAATGAACATGGAGTTAGACTCTGACAGTCAGCAGAATCTGACTGTTTTGCAGAAAAACAAAAATTACAAGTGAATGTCAAAATGAAGTACTGTAGTTTCTGCAGCTGAAACACAATATATTATCTGCTGAAAGCTTGACTTTAAAATATAATTTTTCCTTTTTTTTTTTTTAAGACAAAGAGGAGGCAAAGCGCTGGTTAGGAGGCTAGCCTTTTATCATCTATGTTGCTTTCATTTTTTCACTTTGGCTGCAAAAGCAAGCAAGCGAAAGCAAGCAAAAAACTTCCTAAATGTGTGTGAGGAGGAATGAAAGTAAGTGAGTAAATCAAGTGCCTGTGAAGAAAGGAGCTTGACTGTTGTTCTGACTTGATGACAGGTGGAGATGGTAGGAGGAGGGAACAATGAAAAACGGATTGTGTTTAATACGACCAAGGACATGAACTAACAGTTGACACTGAACAACATCCCTACAGAAATTTTGCCTAACGACGCTACGCATCTAATAAGAACTAAAGTGAGAAACTGCCTCCAGGTTTTTTTTAACAGTGAAAAAGCAACAAGAGCTGCTGTTTGTAACTTTCGTTGCCGTCCATGCTCACTAATGAAACAGCTGAGTGCAATACTGATGCAGTTCTGTTTGAGAGGAATAAAGATTTCATAAGCAGCTCAGGCAGCTTTTCAAAAGGACCCAAGAGTCACTGTATAAGTCAGGTAATGCTGCTCTTATAGGGAGAAGTAAACAAACTATACAAAATAACGCAAATGCATCCATATACTCACATAAACGCAGAGTCAAAAACTAATGTGTGAACAGCAGGGTAAGGGTACAAAAAGTTTAAACAGCAACAGGGTTCTCTGGATGAATGAATGGCGATATGGAGGGTGGGCACCAGTACAAGTGCAGCGGTGCATGTCAGCTTGTTCACTTTGGCAAATCTCAAGAGAAAGGGAGGAGTTTTAGAGAGAAGACATGGGGTGCAGTTACTGACCATGAATATGGCATAAACTTTAACTGAAAGAGTGTCCTAAGAATAAGAATTCCTAGAAGCACAGTGTAGCTCTCAAAACAAAGAAGACAGTCTGATGTTTCTTCACTCTTAAACACTAAGGGCAGCACTACGTTGTCCATACATGTTGCTCACAACTCATTCACTCATTCATTCTAATTCAGGAGAAATGATTCCTTTAAGACACCAGTGTTACACAGGGGTTTTTAAGGGTGCTGTCTTTGCTGCCTTTTTTTTGTTTGTCTGTTGATTTGTTTGTGTTGTTTTGTTTATGTTCACTTTATTGTTAAGGTTGTGATAACTAATAAAAGTTTTAAATGTGAAAACTAGATTTCTTAGATCGGAGTAAGGTCAGGAAATCTGATTAAGAAATCTGATAAAGAGAGCTGAATTTTAGCTCAGTAATCAGATTTCTCAGTGCATACGTACTCTTACTCTGATTTCTTTCAGATTTCTTAGTCTGTGCATGTGTGAAAACAGACTGTGGTCCCAGAAACAGCAAGCAGCATTGCTGCGAGATGCAGCAAAACACTTTTGGAGCGACGCTGAAACAAATTACATGCTAGACGACATGAAGAATTTAAATATTTATCATCTTCTACATGATGTATGTTCATATTTTTAGGTAAAGTGGCGCGATGTTTTAAAAAAAAAACAACAACAAAAAAAAAGCTGCGGCAAGAAGTTTGAGTTTACGTCGTCTTCTTCTGAGTTTACTGGCTGATTACAAAGCAGAAATCGGATTACTGCCTGACTCATGTAGACCTTGAGTTTCCCCATTATCTGATTACTCAAGTGCATGTAAATGCGTTGAATGAATTACTGACAAAATCTGATTTCCTGTGGTACCAGATTATTAAGTGCATGTAAACACATTCAATGTTGCTTTCATGTTCGAACTTATGCAGAACCATTCAAAAGTGCTACTGAGCCTTCTCTAGTTGGAGCTAGCAAACAGAAACTAAAATGAATTGCAGAACTTACATAAAATCTGTGCGGTTTCCTATCAAAGGCCTCAAGTAACACACAATTAGCACACTAGCACCCTGGGAGCAAATTAGATATCACAACAGACAAAAGCACACACACACACACACACACACACACACACACACACACACATCACACACAAATATGGTAAAAGTAATGGGAGGAAAGGAAGCTTTCTAGGAAGCAGAAACCATTCTGAGGGCAGATATAATGTTGACCATGCAGAACTCACTATGATGGACCTTCTCTTATGGAAACGTGGCCGTGATAAGTCCACTTTCTAGATTAGAGCAGGAAAGGAGTGGACAGAGCAGAGAATGAGTGGACACACAGAGGGGTTACTCAGCAAAGGACACGAATCACTGGGAAATAACCAGCATTTCACAAGCGTTTTGGCAGCCACCTGCAATCTTTACAAAGAAGCTTAATTTAGGTATGTAAAACAGAAGCAAAAGCTTCCTTTTAAAGACTAGCTGTGCTGGCTTGATAAAAATGCTGTTTCTTGGAACTGCTCAACTGAAACAATCATATTTTCACACATTTTCACAAATGTCCAATTCTTAATTCCTAAACCAGTAGAAAATAATCTGATTAGTACGAAGAGGTAGTAAATCAGTACGTGACAAAGTGCAGAGACACCCAGTCTGTCTGTACTATTTCTGCGAAGGCTGGATTAAAGGCAGCTGTTTGGTAACTATTCATAGTCAACTGCATACAAAAACACAAAACACTCAAATTGCAACTGATCTAATGCTGGGCAATATTAATAAAATCCAATATCACAGTAATTTCCAAATGTGTCACAGTATCACAGTATCAGATGAGATCTTTCTTTGACATTTGATTTAACTGACCAATCTGTTTGGATTTTATTAGCCTTTTTTTAACTGATTTTTTCAGCCTTTTTCAAACCCAAAGTTCCCACCGTGTGACACATGAAAATATTATCCAATTTTCAGAAATTTCTATTAGCTGCAGTACATTAACATGACTTACTTTTAATGGTCCAATCGGGCATTCAAAAAATATAAAAAATGAAAATGAGTTGCCTATTTAAATAACATGAATGAAACAAAGTGCTACACTGAAAGTAAGATTTAGCACAATAAGTCATGCATGATTATGCTATGACATTTTGGTAATGATGTAGCAGCAGCATTCAAAAACAGCGCACAAACCTGACTCACGTTATTTATATCATAAAACTGCAACACTGATTGACCAAAATCATAATAATAAATTGGCTGACTAGGTTTTTAAAGCAAAAAAATCTGCCAATTCCAAATCTTGTCTGATTACAAAGGCGCATCACTACCTTCTAAGTTTGTAATGCTAAAATGAATGAACTGATGGTGATGCTCTATGCTAAGGGAGTGTCTTACAAACTTAAATTACCTCTTTTTTTTTGATTGGACAATTTTGTCGTTCTATTTCTTTCAAAATTACAAAGGGAATCTTAAATAAGACTGTAAAAGTTAATCAGACAGAAACCATATTTCCATCAATCCTTATTATATAAGTAAAATCAAAATCAATCTAGCTGTGCAACACCAATAACAGTATATCGGTATAGACGACACATTGCCCAGCACCCTGCTGACCAGTAACTTTCACCTAACCAACATAGGTATGTCATAAGTCATAAAGCATGAATAATAATAAGTCTGTGAGAGTAAAAGGAGAATGAGAGAGAGTGACAGAAAAACAGAGAGAGATTGTGCATCCAGTACAACAGATGCCAACACTGTGTTTAGGCACACAACTGTGCACTACCTGACAGACTGGTTCTGTCTCTCTGTAACTCAACTGATACAGAACGATAAAGTTAGCCTGAACAATAAACGCCTGTCACAGGCTGCTACAGTAAAGCTTCACTTACTGCTCTAAAAATCAGCCTATTTCACTACAGACCTTACTTATCACCCGATACTAATCGAAAGCTCAGTGGGTGGAACATTAACTGATCCATCCAGGCAGGGCATTTCACTGTTCCTCATTCCTCAAACTAGTCCTGCACTAGGAAAGAACTGTGCATGTGTGTACCTCAAACTGAGGCCAGTTCATAGGCATGCCCGGGCCATGGTTAGAGCGGAACCATTTCAGATCCTCCTCTGCGTCAGATGCCTGGATTGTGTCTTCCAAATTCTGATACACAGTCTGGAACCTGAAGAGGGAAGACAAGCTTTATTCCACCACACAGTGCATCATGGTGTATGTTAGAGGTCTGCTAACTGACCTGAGTCAGACAAAATATCAGTTTTCAGGCCAACTTTTCACATGCAGCATCTGAATGGAGCTTGGGTTTGTTTTCTAATGAGTGATTTTTCTATGTAGTAGATTTCATGCACTCTCACACATTTTCTCTCTTCCACTTTCATTTTCGCTCTCGCTTGCTCTCTCTTTCTCGTAACATTAGCTGCATTCGGATTTGCTCTGGAGTTTGAAGAGTGTGTGAATGTGCCCCTGAAAGAAATCACGAATCCTGGGTTGGTGGAAAGGTCACAGCGGATCCTTCCCCTTGCTTGTAAGCTTGCCCAAAATATGTTAAACATTCATACAGTATCATTAACAGATGATAAGAGGGGGGCTGATGCTTTTCTATAGCAGGTGTGATCAGCAATTCCACAAAAATATACTGATACTGTTAAATACTGTTCAATAAATAAAATAATAAAAATGTTAGTGTATTACTGATGTAGAACACCAGTTCATTCTAGCATGACATTTTCTGTTTCTCCACTGTTTCCGCACTGTAAACGCATGTCTGCAATAACCCATCTGTTCGTATTGGGTTCGGGTTTTAAATTTAACAGTACCAGTCGGGTCTGGTTGGATCAGGTTTCTTAAATGCCGGTATGGGTTGGGTTCGGGCACCAATTTCATGTGCAGACCTTTAACGTGACGTCTTTTCTGCATAAACATCTATTTTGAGCTAAGCTTAGAGTTTGTAGAAAAAGGTCATAAAGACCAGAGGAAATAGTTGTTGGTGAGCTTCGACATATGAATGCTCATTGCCAACCAACAGTGGCTTTGGTTTTGCTGACCTCAAAGAGATGGTTCTTCATTTTTACACCACTGAAATTAAGAAATTACTAATTGTAGTAGTGACAAGGAATAACATTTTACATAACCAATCCTGAACCGACTATAAATTAAATTTGCTTTTTCCTTCCATTTTGTGAAGCATTTCCCAATGAAACACAATATCAGGCAGGGTCTTTGATCTAGTTAAATGTTTTCACTTGATGAGAGGTGGGGGCAGCAGAAGTGGGAGGAAAAACGTGATATTATCATTATTCACCTCACCTGCTGGTACACAGTGCCATAATCAAAATACGTTTTAGAAGCAGGCAAAAGTCACTCCATTTTGATGTAAGAAGAGTTTTTTTTTCTGAATGACATGATAAAGCATGCTTAATATGACCAGGCCCCTGAACTGAAGGTGATTTCAGTTTACATAAAAGAGAAGGGTAAAGCCTTTCACTTCTGTATACGCTTGGCAAATTAGCTAGCTTAATGTACTCTTCTCTATTGTTTTCTATATATCCCTCATCTTTTGGTTCTGGTTATGTTGGAAGGAGACTTGTGATTATTACTTGTGTTCTTACTTGTGATTGGTGGAGAGATCAAGGTGCTGCTTGACATCCAGTAGGAGCTCTTTGAAGAAGCGCAGTCTCTTATCCTCAAACTGCTGCCACTGTTCAAATACTTGCTCCATGTTCTCCATGTACTGAGGAGTCACTTTATCCAGCTCCTCCAGAGACTTCTCATAGCGCTCCTTAGACTGAAATCGCCCACCACAAAATAATCTCAGTACATTTAAATTAAGCTATTCCTTTCCTTCATATACACGCCAAGATGAGACATTATACTACCTACATTAATTTCCAGTCTGTTTGTCATTTTGTTACCGTGGTTAAACCATTTGCATTTCAAATCCCAAAAGGATGGGACATTTTATGAGCAAGTGGCATCCAATAAAATACCCTGGATCCCTAATTGATTTGCAGCTCAGCTGACTGTCAAACACATATTTGCAAAAACACACACATGAAAAAATGTACACACACACACACACACACACACCTTCTGCACTTCCTGTTGACATTTCTCCACTTTGTCCTGGAGTTTTTTCTGGGCCTCTGGGTTGGTGTTGCTTTCTAGCTTGCTATTGGTCTCCCTGCTGGTGGCCAGTTTCTCTTCCTTGCAGGCTGCATGGTAGGTTTTCTTCATTGTATCCACCTGAAGAAACAGGACAATACGGTTGTGGTCATAACACAAGTAACATTTTGAAGTGTTGCATTACGCTATGCTTCTACACTGAAAGACTCTTCCAGCATTGTGTGGTTATGCATGGTTTGTGTTTTTCACATCCTGCAGAAACACCTTGCACAGTTTCCATCCAAGCATTTAACATGAAATGCAAAGACTGCAATGACCTTGACAAAAGGATGCAATTACTTGGGGGTTTACCTTTCTGAGAATCATGTCAAAATAGGCCCCTGCACTTCTCTGCAAAAATTCAAAAAGTGCAAAAAAGGGACTCCATCATAGATGCTATTCATTATAGTGCAATTGTAGGCCTATCACAATTATTACTTAATTGACTGATCACAATAATTTGCAGTAATTGCAATTATTTTCCACAGTTGCTAGCTTTCACAATCATATGTTTATGCTGAAGCAGACAAAACGTGAACTGGGTGCATTTCGATCAGTTGTGTTGCAAACACATGTAAATAAAAAAGTAGAAAACACATTTATTTCAGACACATCATGAGTCTTACAAAAAAACAAAAGTTCTGACTGGTGCTACAGCACCTTTAGAGGGCAGCAGTGAGTGATGTTTGTTTATTTAAGTTTAAGTGTCTGGTGTTAGCTGGGAGCTACAAAGTGTCAATAACGAGGAAGCAAGAAAGCTAATCAGCCAGTTTTGTTACTTTAGGCTTGTTTATTGTTGCACACAATGAACCAAAAAACCAACGCAATTGTTAATCAAAATTACTTATAAAGCAATTAACTGGCAGATAAAATTTAATAATAGTGACAGGCCTATGCAATTGTTTATTATTAAGAACACAGAGTTGTAGCTTTGTTAAAGCTTTATTAACTACCTGAGCATTTCTTCTTTGTGCTTTCTTCTATGGGTGCACTGCTTTTTTTCCAGCTGTTGTTACCAACAGACACTTTACAAGGTTGTACAATGTTAAAATTAGATACTGTTTTGAGGCATTGACTTTACATTTTATACAGCACTTTAGTAAATTACCTACAATATACAAACAAATAAAATTTTCTTGACATGTAATACAATGACATACATGAACACTATAAACAGAATACGACTGCAAAACAAACAATTCAGATACAGGATATAGACTGGGCAGTGAAAGACAAATCACGATTGTCCTTAACAGCTTTTGTGTTAACATATAGTTAAACTAATCCTACAGTGTTCTGAAAGCTTAGTAATATTGCCACTGGAAATTACTGTCCTGTGTGACAGTAAACAACAGCCTGGACCATCCTTTCACGTCTGCCAAAACTGCAGAATATCAAAGCTTTTGCAGGTAGTAGACCAGACAAACCATTACAAACAGTGGTTCTCTGAATCCTACTGAAAATCAACACAGTATTGCAAAAGCTTGTTAACGCAGTTGTGTGCAACTGCTTTTTGTTTCAATGACCTTGCAGTCGGTCACAGAGATACGGACTGTACAAACAAGACAAAGTAATGTCTGCCAGACTCATTCAAGGGGAAAATAAGGTATGCTCCTAGTTACTCAGCAGAGCTTGATGAAGCCAAAAAAAATCTTACAGAACTCAAATCTAAGATCATGTAGTCACTTGACTGGCAAATAAGCCTTTTCCAGTTGAGGAAAAATAGTACTTGTTCAGCATGCATGCAAAACCCCACCTCTAGCATACAAATTTGTCAATAATCCCCAGCAAGGCTTTTAGTTACTATGAGAATATTACTTAGATTAGTTAGACATTAAATGACTGGTTCAGAGGTTCTGAGAAGTGGCAAGAGTTGGGAATGTTTTGGTAAATTTTGTGATTTGATTTCTGAGTGAAGCTGAAGCCTTGGGAGATGTGAGCCATTAAATAATTTGGCCATTGTGTGACAGAGGTATTTTTGTTTAAAAGTTTTTAAATTAAATTTGGCCAACAGATGGTTATGTTAACTGTAATTGATGCCTTAATAAAATCTGTATAATGTGAATTATTTGTCTGGTTGTATCTGTACCTCTTTGAGCTTTTTGGCCCAGGGCTTTTGAGCCTTGCGGAATCCGTCCTCAGCCTCCTTGGTCTCCTTGAAGCCACCGATCATCTGCTTGTGGTAGGCATCTTTCTGCCAGTTCTTCACCTTTTCAAAGTCTTCACCCATCAGAGCAGCCTTTATCTCCATGTGGAGCTCGCTTACCTTTTCTGCTTCTATCATCACAGCACACCACGCCCGCTCCACTGTGCCATACTGAGGTCCTGCAGCACAGCATCATTCAAATCAGCACATTACTCTCTTTAAGTCAGTCTTAGCCAAAGTCATTCTGCCTTACAAATGACACAAGCATGAATTTTGTCGTTACAGTGTCACAGGCAAGTCTGTTTGAGATTACTCAACACCTTGTTACACTTTGTGGGAAGTGCATGATGGTTTGCACAATACTAACCTTGTGGCTAGTAGCTTAAATTATTTGCTAGCTACATTAGGCTCATACCTGCAGTGCAAAGCTAAAACAAACAAAAACAAATAGCACAGTCTTGGCTGATTGGCTACATTTTTGAGCGAGGGAAAAATGTTGTAAATTTGTTTTTTGAACTATTGCTTTATGCAGGAACTACAGACCAAGGCTCAAATAGACCTCACCAGAAACACAAAGACACAGAGCTAATAGATCTTTTTGCAGCCAAAAGTTTTCCACAACACCGTGAAGTAAACAACTCAATTAGAGCTGGTTTGGGGACTGTGCAGGCCCAGAACAATGCAGCCAATACAGGGGTCACTGACACCAGTAGAATGAAACAACATATGACTAAGTAGTCTGGATGACAGTGTCTACAAAAACACAAACAACCAAGACAATGGTCATCACAATAATGGCCACCTGCCTGGATGTGTGTTCCACCCAATCCCCAGTGTGCTATCAGTAGCGATGGATATCATTACGATTTTAGCCAAAGCAAAACTGTTCATACCTGATCTTATCAATTCTGTTTTTTATACTTAATAGCATTCTGAGCTGGGGGGCATCCCTAGCTATTTGAGGCTCACCTTTTTCAATAAGCTGTCTCCAACGCTTGGCCCATTCGGTAAGCTGCAGTGCGTACCCCTTTTCGATGCGGGCCCGCTCGTGGATGCATTTCATTAGGTCATCACACAGCCTGTTCCCATCATCCACTCTTTTTACGGTCCTCTTGTAGTTCCCAACCTAAGCAATCGAAGAACAGAAAACAAAAGAGCAGTATAGATATCAGTCTAACTATAAATGCACAGACGAATTATTGTGTGCAAGCATACACACCGATCAAGCATAACATTATGACCATATGATCCTTGTTTCTACGCTCATTGTCCATTGCTGTGTCTGATCCACTCATACCAGCACAACACACACTAAGACACCACCACCATGTCAGTGTTACTGCAGCGCTGATAATGATCCACCACCCAAATAGTACCTGCTCTGTAAGGGGGCCATGGGGGTCCTGACCACTGAAGAACAGGGTAAAATGGGGCTAACAAAGTATGCAGAGAAACAGATGGACTACAGTCTGTAACTGTAGAACTACAAAGTGCACCTATATAGTAAGTGGAGCTAAAATGGACAATGAACGCAGAAACAAGGAGGTGGGCATAATATTATGCCTGATCGATGTGTGTGTGTGTATACATATATATGTATATATATATATATATATATATACATACATATATATACACACACACACACACACACACACACACATATATACACACACACACCTACCCACCCATATATGTATGTATGTATGTATGTGTGTGTGTGTGTGTGTGTGTGTGTGTGTGTGTGTGTGTGTGCGTGCGTGTGTACTACCTCCCAAAAGCTGTCACTGGAGACATCAATCAGCGAGTCATTGTAGGTGCCAGACATGGCTGCTTTCTTCTGTTACCCAGTGTCCTCAGTTCTGAAACAGAAACAAATACTTGATCGTGCTGTGAACTCACTGCTTTCCTTCTCTCCCAGACTGAAACTGTTGTTCTTATGGTAGAATCAACTGTAAAATCTTGATATGACCAACCACCTGGAGGCCAATTTCATTTTACTTTGTTGGCTGCACCGGACATGGGTCAGCCCTAAAATTGATTCATGAGGTTTAATAGCAACTGACTGTGCTGATAAAGAAGCTAGCCAGCTCCATCCCTCAGCTATCCCACAGTATGACAGTGTTTACTTTTAATGTAAGTCAATGGAACCAGAAATTTTTCCAAGTCATTTTGGGTCATTGGTTACACACAGTATAAAGGGTAATAGGTGTTTTCAAATTATGTCAAAAACTGAAAAACGTCAAAAATGGAGATACGACGTTTTCTTCCGACAACAGCAATATATTTCATATATATTTTTCTAGCTAAATGTCTTTGCATAGTATATCAGAATTATCAGAGTTCAAAATACTACTCTGACTTAGTACTTGAGTATTACACAAAACATATAATCAATTATTAACAACTGTTAATATCAAACATTACCACACATTAACTCAGAGGCGTCAAAGCTGGCATACAAACGAGAACAAGAGGACGTCTACTCATTACATAAAAATAACACAACTGTATGAACAAGGACACCAAGTCAAACTCAGTCTCTCCCTCCACTCGGTATGAAACATTCTTTTCCATGGGAAGTGATGAAAATTCCTGCCATTCTTACAGTAACACTGACCCCCTGCCCCTTCAAAGCTGATTTAGCTCCACAGAGTTCCTCCACTCAAACACTTGACATCACATACACACATCAGAACGCCCAGCCCCTTGTGCACACCCACCGATCTCAAAGACCTTATCAGGGAAGCAGCAGGGAAACTCATACTTTCCATGATTTTACCACTTAAGCAGTGTTATACAAAGGCAGGTAGGAACGGAGAGACTAATGGAGAGGAAGAAGGAAAGATTTTTTCATAGCCTGATTTCTGTAAGCCTGTCACACAGTTGGTTCAGTGTGTTGGCTGGCTTAGCAACAATCACCACAGCATGACTCAGAGGCCATTTACGGTGTTTACACACACACATACCCACATATCTGCACACATACCCACACACCGAGGTCATGTGTGAACATCTTTAAGGAAGAGGAAGAGACCTGTTGTCAGAGGACAGATGACCAAGTCTGTCATCCACACACACAGAAAAAGACACCTCTGCTTTCAGCCTATCAGCCCAACAGCATGAACATAACTAGCTGCACTCAAACATAGTTTTTATACCTAGTCAAGACACGGAACCACACAGACACACACACACACAGACACAGACACACAGACACACAGTCTTCTACACAATTATTGGCACCCCTGGTTAAGATGAGTAAAAAGCATGTGCAAAAAAAGAAGCATCTTGGGTTCACCAAGTCTCCAAACTACCATCAGACGCCACCTCCATGCCAAGAGATTGGAAGATACACCAGGACGAAACCTTTCCTGTCATCTAAACACAAACATAAGCACCTGGATTTTGCTAAACGCTACTGGGACTATGTCTGTAACAATGTTTTATGGTCAGATGAAACAAAATATTTTTGGTGGTTTGGTGTAAGAAGAAGGATGACTACACCTAAAAAAAGAACCCAATGCCCACTGTTAAGTATGGTGGAGGGTCTGTGATGTTGTGGGGCTGTTTTTCCTCAAAAGGCCCTGGGAACCAACCTCATTAGGGTACACGGTATCACAGACTCCATGATACACCAGGGCATTTTTTATTAGCACATAAAAAAAAAAATCTTTAAACGGGGCAACTTGCCCCACTTGCCCCTAAAAGGGATAAGAAGCCCCCATAGTTAATCTTGCATCAATTTGTCTAGGATTATCTGAATTCTACAGAACGTATAGTTTATAGGTCAAATCACTTCTAGTCTTTGCATTTTTCAGAAAGTGTTATTAATCAAAGTACAACCAAGTAATACATTATATTAAATGTAATTGAAATTGAGGCCTCTATCACATTACATAATGACAATACACAAATTCATTTTTAAGGTATTATTATTATTATTATTATTATTATTATGACGACAACGACAACAACAACAACAACAACAACAACGACAACAACAACAACAACGACAATTTAAACAAAGCAATAGCATTTAACACTGTGTATATTTTTTACTTTCACCATTTAAGGCAAAATAATTATTGGACATAACAGAACAGATCAGGTGTGGATATTACTCTAGCTGAGATACAAACCCATCTCCAGCAAAATGTTGCCTAATTCTAGCTAATGATCACTACAGCTAGAATGCAGCTAGCTTTTTTAAACTTTTTGGGGCAGTAGGATAAAGGGGGCCTTTTTGCCCAGTGTCTGTGGGGGGGCATCTTACCACAGAGGTTTACATTTTCACTTCAAAGAAAAAAAAAAAAATCAAAACCAACTTTCTTGTACAACTTAATATAAATGCATAGATCACTAAATTCCAGTGACAAAAAGATTTGATCATCTGACAACAAAATGTTTCTGAGGCAACAAATCCCAGGAATGCAGAGATCTAGATTAAATTTAGCATTAATTAGACCAAAGCTCAGTAAATGTGTTAAAAAGCCTAACTTTAACCGAGGCAAACCAAAATAAATGGTTTAGCTCTTTCGGTTTAAAAAAAAAAGGAAACATAGAGTTTTTGTTAAAATAACTTAGTAAACTCACACCCTGCACCTGGTCTGCACTCTGTTTGCCTCCAGCTAAAGGGAAGGAGATGTCTACTGGAATGATAAAGAGCAAAGTCAAGTCAAGTCAAATTTATTTATATAGAGCCTTTTACAACAGATGTTGTCACAAAGCAGCTTTACAAAGAATCCGGGTCCACGGCCCCAGTGAGCAAGACTTGGCGACAGTGGCAAGGAAAAACTCCCTCAACAGGAGGAAGAAACCTCGAGAGGAACCAGAGTCAAAAGGGGAACCCATCCTCCTCTGCTCGACACAGGATAACAGCACAGTCACAAAACAGTATAAGTGGATACAGTTTTACACCACTGTGCAGTGCGCCGGCCGCATCAGTCATGTCAGACCCTCTTAGGACAGGCAGCCGCTCAGCTCAGCAAAGAATGTCATTATATTCATCAAACAACATCCTACCACTGTTATCACTGAGGCAGCATTACAGCTCTGCAGAAGTGAGTGTAATACTCAAACCTGTGCTTGTGCTCTCATGAAAGACTTGCAGCTATTCTGTGGAAACCAGATGACTTAAACTCAGCCATGGTTATACTTTAACACACACTGAGGTTTTGTAACTCTGAGCACACACGCTGGGCGGCTCTTCCGTTGCTGTTGGACAGGCGCTGCAGCGGAACACTGCTGACAGAGACTCCTCTGTCACTCTCTCATCCCTCGCTCTCTCGCTCATCCACTTCCATTCAATCACCCATTTCCTCTCTTCTCTCAGATGCTTTCAGTCGCTCTCAGTCATTCAGACAAGTCTTTCTCCTTCTCCTGTGCACCCCTATCCTATCCCTCACACCCATTCCCACACTCTTGCTCTCTCTCTCTAGCTATCTTTATCCATCTATGAATCTCTCATTGCTGTTGAAGTAAAACCTTGTATCTCCAAAAAAAACTAACCTTACAGGAGGTGGAAAAACCGCTTAACTCTTAGTCTAAGTAATCTTAAAAAAAACCATAAGTACAACATGGTTGGATAACGGTGATAAGGTTTGCCACAGTATTTAAAAACGATTCCGGTATTTAAAATTCATGAAATTTTGTTAAAATGATGATGTGTCAAATTTCTATTCCACATCTGAACGGCCAAATAAACACATTTCCCTTAGGGGAATCCCCGGTGCTATTTTAAGTGCCAGTCCATTACTTTCTTAGCTCAAGTGAAGTGTGTTAGATGAGCCCTTGGAGGAATGAAGGATCAAGTTAACACAAGCGTTGTTTGGGTCTGTAGCCCGGTCGCTAAGCTAAAGTACAGTCAGTTAATTTCCCTTTGATACCAGTTGCTCGACTTCACTCCCTCATATTTGAATCATTATCACCTATACTTGTGTAGGTGCTTTAGCTAGCCAGAATCGACTAGAGCTGTTATGATAACTAAGCTAATGCCAAGCAGCTACTCTCTCCTATTTAGCAGCACTGTTTATTTTGATTTTGAATATCAGCACCTTGGTGGTTCTATGTATGTATGCATATATTGAAAAAAGTGATGCACTAGATTTTCTTGATTCATTTTTACATGAGCAAAACATATTACAAAACAAGCAAAGTGAAAGACAAAAATGTGCTGATGTAACATATTATAACTGTGTAAATGACGTACATTTTTTAAATAAGTCAGTTGAATGTATAACTTTTTCAGTGTACAGGCCAACTAGATCAACGTGCACGCGCGCACACACACACACACACTCGCCAGAAATAGCCACACAGCTATATTTCAGTACTCTCAGAGGTGTTATATTTTTATCACAGTCAGGAGTTTCCCTTACAGGATAAACCCAAGAAGAGGAGCCAGGTCTGCTCATGGCAGGGGGAGATTAATAATGGTGTGTGTGTCCTGTCTGCTTTGGCTGTCTCAGCAGTAGTATATTGAGTCAGCAGCTTCTCTTGGTTCCCTGGGGCGTTCCCACTCAGTATGAAGACATTCACACACACACACACACTCACACCCTGAGCAACAAGTACTACTGTCAGATAGACACACATACACTCAAAGATGTAGCAGAAACATCTAACTGTCAGGCTACCAAACAATCCTCAGGTACTGTCTTTGCTAAAATGACAGAAAGCATTTTTTCCAAAATTAAATGAAAGGGTTTAGTTTCACATCTCCATAGCCACAGTGTTGTCTGGACCTTCAAGACACTAGAGCTGCTTATGTCAAATAGTCTAATGTGGATAATGACATCCACTGTTCCATTCAAAGCTTGATTCAAATGAGGTGAATCCTAGACACTGCCTCTACTGGGGG